ATTCCTTTGTTGTGACTCCCCGATCAGTCCCCAGGGGGCCTCAGGCCCGCAACCCCTCCACGCACTAGACACCATCAGGTGACCAACCCCTTCCCTTCCACCAAGGGCTTCGGACCTCTCACATGTATCACCCAGATCCCGCAGAGTCTAGGACCTGAAGGATCAAGCCCAGGTTACACCACCGTTCCGAAATTTCGAACCTCTCGAGTTCTATCACGCAGGCATGTAGCAGAGGGAACTATCAGGCCCCCGTGCGAAATGCTGGAAAGCTATAAGATAGCACTTGTCGAGGTTCCCTCGGGGATCGTCAAGAATTAGTCTTGGAATTCAATCCTGACCAGCGGCGCCCTCTTCTTGCCTGACGATCAAGTTTTTCTACCTTGTGCAAGTAGATCTCGTTACAAGCGTCCCCTGTATGATCAGAGGAAGTCAGACAGCTATTGAAGAGGGGAATGCTCAAGGCAGTCTGATCTCACCAGACAGGTCGAGTCATAGAGGAACCAAACCAAAACCGCAAGCAAGCAAGTCCCGGAATCCTCCAAGGTAATCGTGTAGTCCGATATCAGGAACCAAGGGCAGGAATCAAAAAGAGTCTGACATTGCAAGTGTAAGGAATCTGACTGTAAAGACTGTCCTGAATCCTCTTTCCAAACTGATGATCAAGCACAATGATGATGATCCCAAGGATCCGCAGCCTAGGTCTTAGATAACCTCCCTAGGCGGTAGGGCTATCAGGCATCTCTCACTACTAAACATCCACCCTTAAGTACATGCAACCGAATCCCCCACCACGCTATATATTTTACGATATAGTAAGGAAATTAGGGCCCTTAATTTAACTGCTGCTTTCCAGGGTTCAATACATGAGTACCCGTTTATACTTTATATGTTCCATACTCCTTTAAACGTTTTCACACGTTGTGTGCATAGTTAGAGCTCAATTTCTCATCTTTTTTGGATTGCCGTCTAGTCGTTTAGCAGTAGGGATCCTAGGCTGTAACTAGTCCTTGCTTGAGATGCCAACTAGTTTACCAAATGGGCAGATTTGTTCGTAGAAAATGGAAATGCAAAATTCTAGTTATACCTCGATGCCTCTTGCTATATTCTTCTGTGGTCTCGCGAGAGCTCCTCGTGTTATTACACGCTTATAACAATTATGACGTATCGCTCGTGTAATTAGGTGATTTAGTGTGTTTTGCAGATCCGCAGAAACGTAGAAAGAGCAAAGCTTTCCCCAGATCTTATTCAGCTAGGTGAAACAATTTCTTAGGTCAGATTAAAGAAAGTGAAATTCTTTGTTTCTAGCTCGGGTAGAATTCTATAATATGCTAATGACTAGTGGCTCTTCAAAGATATATGATACAGGTCAAGGGACCTGGAGAGCTTTATTCCTTACTCATTGCGACTGTCAGGTTAAGCCCCAATTAGACCTTGCAATTACTCGCGGCGAGCCGGCTTTTTGGACTCGACTCGCGAGTCTTCCCGCTCGTACGGTATTGCAAAATCGAGCCGGTAATTTATTATTATATATAGCGAGCCAGAAAAACTCGCGGTTCGATCCGCTCGATTACTAGTGTATTACCGTCGTACGGCTCGCGAGTAATTTTCCGCGGGCCGGCCTTCCCGGCTCGAACTCGCTAGTAGCGCGAGCCGAGGACTCGCGAGTAATTGCAAGGCCTAGCCCCAATTGACTCCGTCACACCTCAATCCTTGGCATGCAGTTCCCTTTTCTTTCATACAGATGTCGGTCGTGGTTCTCTAAAGTATGAAGAAACGTTTGCCTGAATCGGTCCTCCCTCAGTAATGGGGTAGTTGCACTCCATCCTGCCTATGCCACGACCGATAATGACAGTGGGAGCTATTAAGAGGCGAGAGAAACCTATGCTAGTCTGATTTCGGCCCTCCCATAAGGCTGCTGAGTTCTTTTCAATTTGGTATGATACAGGATATCTCACAGGGCTGCTTTGGCCATCCCGTCGTATCGAATTGTCGGCAATAGGACATAGATCAATACATTTAAGGGGTATATGTGAGAATGGGATTCAATCTGATAAACATTTTTCGCAACAACAAGCACTTCTTATATTATCCCATTTTGCTTATAACGTACTTTTTTTAACTATTGTGGACTGATTTCCGTCTATCTCTCTTCACGCGACTTCCCATACTTGTTAAATATCAGGTTCCGATTTCTCTAACCAAGCGAATCATCCTGTATTGGATAGAGAGGTGTTGAAACCTAGCAGGGGCTCGGATCAAGAGGTTCCTTCTGCCAGTGTCGCATTTACACAGCCTGGAGTTATTCGGCAATTTGCCTATGGCCTGGATAGCTTAGTCCAATATCGATAGAAAGTTGCTGAATATGCAACTGCCGGGGATGTTAAAAACGACCTTACTGAAGAGCGCAGTGATATATGAGTACTCTGGCGTGTGTCACAACAATAAAACATCAAAGTCACTGAGATAGTATCCCTTTTGACAAAATATGATGGCAAAAAATTATTCTGCCAGTGAAATATGAATCTGATGGGGACCGCTAATACTCTCGAGACCTCGACTATGTACAGGCCGAGCCTAGTGTGCGTAGATCACCTGCACCTTGAGAAATCGTGTTATTTACGCGTACCTCGGAGGAAAATATGCTTCGTATCTCAGTACTATGATTTGCGCAGCTGGATTATTCGATCAAATCGTGATAGCGGCAGGCCCTGCCCTGCCATATGTTAAGTAGCTGGGCCAGCCTCCAGGCTCATCTTGGAAGACGTTGACCAACGTGGGCCGTATAGAGCACGGCTTCCTTACATCCTTCGGCTTAACCGAAAATGACAAATTTTACCTTTCTGTCTAACTCAGAAAGAAGGCTACAAAGCCCTCAGATGCATGTAGTCACAGCGCACTCCCGTTTGGAAGATTCACCTCGCAGAGTACAGTGATATCATCGTAAGGGACTTGTTGCGTGCTGGGCCCGAGCCACCAGACCATCTTCACGGCTCAATCGCGGAAAGAATGAGTGTTTACTATCTATTTCATGGGAGTATCTCGGGATGCTGTAGCCGGGCTATGACAAAATCATATAGTTAGGACAAATTCCTCATACCATATTCGGAAGCATCGATCTTCAGATTGGATTTAACAGACAACAATCCGCTTCTAGGCCCCCTGGACGGGAAATTAAATACCGCAATGATAACGTGTATCAAATTGGGGCTAGTAAAGACTAGGCTTGATGAAGTAAGCGCTGACTTCGCCTCTCTTGCCGACTCAATTAGGGCTCTCTGCCCCTGGCATCATTTTTCAAATTCCGAGCACCTACAAAATCTTCCCCAATCTCTGTGTCATATCAACATACGCAAAAGCAATATATTCTGACCATTACCATTTTCCCTATGGCTCGTGGTGTGTACGACACTACTGGCGTGAAGAAGCCGGGAGCGTCCCCTCCGCCACCGAAATAGAGATGCAGTCATCCTTCACACCCGCATCAGGGAAGATGTACTTCTTCAAATGAGCATGTAAGTTAATACTGATCTTCTGATCGGTGCGGCTTTAATGACATGGGTTTGGTTTGGGCTGGCCTCAGGTTCGACACTCATAAATTCACCACAGACGACCTTTCCATCTCCCCGTGCGACGTATTGGCCATCATCAACCTGGCTATCTCCTTACCAGATTGATTTCAAAGCGGCGCTCGTCACATTCTGCTACAGAATTGTCCACAAGTTCGAGCACTCCACATAGTGGTTCATGCGGTCGTTATTGAAGGTCTTACCTTGGCTACCTCGGCTTTCAGGTGTTCAAATCCCATTCATGTACAAGCAATCAAGAGACGAATATTCCGGGCGATCGGCCATTCACCCTCACCTATTCAAGTCTGCAATGAAAAGTAATGCTTCCATTCAGTTATGCCGCTACACCTCGCCTAATTAGGGAGTTCTGGTGGGATCTCGGTGCCCTCCGCGTAGCTTTCTCTACTGGCGCGGTGTCTGCCTTGCGTCAACTGTTTCTTTAATCAAAATTTGCAATATCGAGGACACTACGACCAAGATGCCGAATACCATGTCAGTCAAACTCTATAGAGATTTTCGTGACGGACCAGAGCCCGGCGAAAAACTTTGTACTATGGCCTCTCCAGATATCATTGTGGTAGGGGACTTTGAGTAATTCCATCACGAGTTTCTAAAAGGTACCATTTAAACTAGGATCGACACTCTCGAGAACCGCGACCACCCAACCCTTTCTTCTTCCTCTCCTCGGGACTGTCGTAAACGGTATATTGGCCTAGTACAATTGATTCCATTATGTCACAGCCCTTCACAGATACGGCTGCATTGACTGCATTAAATTTATCGAGCTGCATCGGCCAAACCTGTTCCAGTGAATCCATAAAGCTGGATGCGTAAAGTTCAATATATAGAGTTGAGACAGCTACATTAGCTACATCAGATCTACGGAGAAGGACCCATTATATTAGTATCAATTTTTCTGGCCAAATAGGAGACGCTTACCTCCTGGTTATCTCAAAAAATCACACGAAAGAATTGCATCGGTCAATTGAACTTTGAGAGTGGAAGAAGATCAGCCTCCCAGTCACGGATGCTTCCCATTCTGTGACTTTCAATCAGTCGACGCAAATCCCATGAAATACGAGGTTTTTAAATAGAGAATTCGATCAAATGCATCATACCCTCACCAAGAGCAAAAATAATGTTTCTCTTCCGCTATCAAGTCCTGCACGGAAACACACACCTCATCAAGCCGGTATTCCTACAGTACGCCAACACAGAATGAAAGTCAAGTGTCTACTAAATCATCGGGCGATAATAGCCGTGATGATTTGAATAGCAGCGCAGTCGGCAGGTGGCAATGTCTTCCTCCTCAGCACTGCGAAATGCTCGCCGTCATCACGGTAGTAGTTATAGTCACGTGCCAAGATGGCAATTGCGTTAAAAGCATTTCTCGCGAACCAGGACTAGCGATCATTGGGGTAAAAGGAGCCATGGCTAAAGCAGGGGCGTTGATGATACGTCCACTGCAACGGTTACATCTTGATCGTCCGGACGGATTGTTGCTAGTCCTTGAGGCCAGGTTGTGCGTGGATCTATCACGGCCACGTCGTCTGGGTCGATAGCAATATGCAAGGTAATTTTGCCCATGGCGGATTCCCTCTTCCTGCGAAGGGTCAGTCTTCAGTCTGTGATCTGTGGTGTATACTCGGCATACACGTTTGCCAGAGCATGCCACTCGCTCTTTTTGTCTTCGGAGAGACGCCTCCACTGCTCACTAGTCACTTTGAAAATCTTAGGAAAGGTCATGCGTGGGTTGTGGGCCATCTCAGTGGATCGCCAGTGCTGATGATATAAAATGAAAGCTATCAAAGTACAACAGACGGTCAATGTTAGCTTGCATTCGATTCCACTACTTTCCATGTGCATTGCACACGTTGTCAAACAACAAAGTCTATTCATCACTCGGGTACTGCACATGACAACGAAGTCGATACTCGATAAGAACTAATCATGAAATTACCATTTCGTGGACGAGGAATTTTCGGCACGGGTTGACACAGACAAGGTCGAAGACCATCATTCCCCACCGATTTCGCCAGGCTCGAACTTCCCGAAGGGGACACTGCGAGTCGGGCCAAGGTCTCTCGTAGTGATCGATGAAATAGGCTTGACGAGCCGCTGTACGGGTGATTCTGCAGCCCGAGTCTATTCCGCCCGGCGTTTGGGGTGGTTCATAGGACATGAGATGCTGATGTGTTTTGGACCCGCTGTCGAACTGACCGTGAGACGAAAATCGTACCCTGTCGGACATAGAATCTTCCACAATGCCTTGGTTGGGGCAATGCGGGATTTTCCATATCGCTTTGTCGGTGGACCCGCTATCATATTGTGACCTAAGGGATCACTAGGCCCGGGAAGGGAGCACAATGAAATGGCCTTATGGGGAAGAGAGACCGGGTTGGGGAGAGCTCTGTCGTAAAACATGATGTCTATATGATAGCTGCGATGGGCCACGGAATAACTGGCACGCTAGAGAGAGAAAGAAGGTTTTTGAATCACACCTGGGCAACACCCTGCGCCGAACATAAGAATGAACAAATCAGATGGAATCCTGACCGAGCAATGGTCTCGATTATGTTGATGTGTCCTCGCTGGACGTCGGAGATCAAAGAAAATGCGACCAAAGAGTGGTGGTTAACACTGAAGTACTAGAGCAGAGAAAGCAAGGATAAAGGATGAAGGGTCAGAATGACGCCACTCCGGCCAAGGGAAGATGCAGAGGAAGATCAATGTTTTTGAATTGACTCTTTTAAACCGCTCATTTAAATCTTGTCCCTTGGGATGGTCAGAAAGACTTGGTTTTAAAAGCCGGAAAGAGAAATTTATGGTTAACTGACACACTGCTACCCTCTCTGGTATCTGGCGGGGGAGAAGCAATCTAGAGAGTTGGTCGGATGTAGGAATCGCTTGTCACTCGGATGTGGGCTGACTAGGAAGAGAAAGAGTGAAAGAAGCAGAGGGGGGAACAAATGAAAGGCAAGTATCAAAGAAACTATGCTTCCGAGATCGGGAGGCATTGCTAGACACTTATTTGTTACTCTTGGGTGATTGTCCTTGTGTTCTGATCTAACGGGCTGCTTTCACGTGTAGCGATCAATCAGAAGACAGAATGAAGTGGAGTCTGGATGACAAGGGAATAGACAATAAGTGAACATTGAAAACAATTACTCAAACATGGACTCAGAGACACGGGGCCGGGCAAGAAGAGCAGGGTAAAGGCTTTTGTGGATTGAAAGCACCTCACTCCAATTGGCGCAACAAACTGGTCTACCGTGAGGATGGACAGAGCATGCACCTGGTCCAATTCCTCTTCGGGCGAAATTAAACATTCAGCCAAGCAAAAAGTCGCCAATCAAAATGTAGTGCTTGCCAGCTCTACGACAATGGAAGAAACGCTTGAAATTGGGGAACATAATGTAAGTTGGGCGTCCTGATTTGTTAGATTCTTCGTGCGCATGAATACGGACTGGCGAAGACGGGTCGGGTACGCCTCAGTATGTGTACTGTGACGACTTTAGAAAGGGGGTACGGACTTGCGAACTGTTCCAATCAGGGGGCGAGCTGTGTGTTTGGACTTTTGGTCTTTTACGTACGCCGTAGGAGGTCATGCTATGGAGACTTCCCTAAATAACGTTTCTGTCTTGTCACTTCTCACATCGCCATCATGTTAACAAAAGACTGTCTACCACTAATCGATCTGACCAAAAAGCAGAGCCCAGGGACCATCTTAAATATGCGACGCGCAATCCTGCGGTATGCTGCTTTTCGACTAGAGGTCCCTGAGCTCAAGATCGCTTTTGCTCGATGTGTACAACAGGATGGAAATTTATCTTCCCTTTTCTACTAACTTTCTACGTGGAGGCTGACTTTGAACAAGCGCGGGCTTTCTTTCAGCTCTCGATGTGTCTAAAAAGCCGAACAACGGGATACGTAGCATTTGGTAGGGAGATTATTTGTGAAGAATTGGTAGTAAAGGAACGCCTTTATTCCGTTCGCAAGGATTCCCGGAAGGAAGATCACGCACCGCTACCCTCAGATCTTTATCAATCAGTTAAACCGATACACGATATAAGTCGCCCATGTCTTTGATCGCGGCTAGCTAAGCTGATGAATTTGGACGCAGGAATAGAGGCTTTTGTGATGGCCCCTCTTCGACACTTTGTCTTAAAAAGTTCTCAACCCACATGTCACTTTGACAGGCCCACAACTCCTCGAACACGAGTCGACAGGGCTACATTATTACGTCCGTCAAGACCTGACATCTGGAGAGGGCGATTATATTCCTCCCCCTCAAGACCATATTTCAGGCCTATTCCAGAGGTGTAACCATACTCGCTCCGCGTTCTCTGTGTCCTAGGCCGTTAAGACTCACAAACAAGTAAAAGCCAAAGTGGAGTGAGTTACCCAAAACCTCTTACCTCAGATGAAATCTCTACATTTTCTGTCTTCGGCTAATTTCTTAGCTTGATATTATTATCTTCACGGATCTTTTTCTGGTGTGGACTTCTCATGTAAAAATGCGTCGTTTGGACTGCGTGTATATGGTACGTTCATTCAAATTAAGAGATACAGGGAGCCATTAGATTTTCCACTGCTGTTCCTCTGATCCTGGTATAGCTATGTGGTGACGCACTATTCATGGCAAAGTGATCATGGTTGTGAAGTGAAGCTGAACTGAGAGGATGTAGCCCGTTTTTCTGGAGATGCTCAAGCAGTGCTGGTTTTTTGAACTGACAAACGTGACCATGTTTGAATTGGATGCATTTTGATTTAGAAAACATCAAGCTCCTTGGACCAGAGGCCACTTATGTTCACACAGAGTGAGCAGAAACCTTGGACCGCTTCATCATCTTCATTTTCCTCGTGGGTTCATTGTCGCTCAAGATCACAAGTTTCTTCAGTGGTCGCAGGAACTACGTCCACTGCCTCAAGGGTTGAACTCACAGCCTCAGCGTCAGGAAATGGACTTTCATTTATTGTTTTGTCGGGTATCTCAGGTGAGTTTGGCGTATCAGCTGGTGGATCGGAAATATTAGATCTCATTTTTTCCGACGTCGCTAATTCATGTAACGGTTGAATTCTGCTTTGCCTTGATAGGTCAGGAAAATCGGAGCCGACCACTTCCGGTATAATTATTTCATAAATAGATCCGCTGCTGCTCTCCTTTGTCAGATATTTCTCGTCTAATCGTGCATCGCAGCTGCCTGTAGCCAAATTCAGATTCCATGAGTCAGTTTCAGTCACCGATAATGTCGATACACCGTCCAATTTTATCCAAACGAAGCGTTTGCAGGTCTCTGAGCCCCCTCCAAGATCACGAGCTTCTTGTTGAGTTGCTCACGAATTGATTGACTTTCCTTCAACTCACCAGCAATCTTCATGACAAGGTCTGCTGGCATGTCGAATACAGTCACCGGTGATAAAATGCGAGACAAAAAGCCCATGAGTCTACCCTCCACAATTTCGTTGGCAATGTCGTCGAGGAATCGCTTCAGTGCCACCTGTATTTTGTCAGACCCACAAAGGTCTTTAGGATACGGGCGGAGAGTCACCTTGTAGTAGGCCGGCATACAGTCTAATGCTTCGACAGACGCATAATGCACCATGTTTAGTTCCGAATGTTGACGGAGCGCTTTGGCAAGTTGTTCAAGATTTATGGCATAAGTAGTGTGATAAGGATCCCTCACATAATCAACCGCAAAGAATTGCTGCAGAATCTTGGATATCTCATCTTCCTGGCGTGCGACCCGGATCTTCTGCAGCGTTTCCGTAAAGTAATGATTGTAAGTAATTGATGCCCCTTCTGGTGCGGCGTCAGCAGCTCTTCAGTCTTGGCATTGGTCTCATTCGTAATAGAGCCACAAGCTGGGATTATAATCCCATCAGTCAATGCCGCTGACGTTGCCTCGTCAGTGATATGTTTGACCACCAGCGTGAGAAACTCTCTGGCAGCAATCCATACACCGTCCGTATGGCCACGGGCCAGTCTTTCCCACGGAGAGCACTGTTCCAAGAACAGGTCACGAACGATCATGGGATTGAATGTCCCGGGCAGCTCGCGACCCCTTGTTTTTTTGAGAAGGTGGCAGGTGAGCTTGATATACTCTTCTCTGGTAACACAGAGCTGGTGCTGAACGGGCGTCTGTTCGTCGGTGTACTCACAGATGCGTCGATAATGGCCCTGTCGGCTCATTCAGTCGGCAAATTCTTCGTTGAAATTTTGCACGATGGCTCGTATTCTCTTATGATACCCGTTGCTCGAGCGGGCATCCCCGAAGAAGAGATCGTTGTATGTCCGATCGGTAGCCACTTTCATAAGCTCCTGGAGTGACTGACTGATATTCAAAAGATACGACCTCTGCTCGTCAATGGTAATCCGTGGTTCACCAAGTCTTCGAAGCCAAAATCTGCACTGGCCAAATTTCTTCTTGATCTTTCTAATCAAGTTTGGTAGCTCGGTAGCGATCAGCGAAAGCAGCACCTTACTCAATCGCATTCTTAGGATTTCGATGCCAGCTATTGAGATCGACAGATCCTTCCATATACCTTGCGGGAAGAAATTGGCTTCATTAACGTCGCGCTGCTCCAGGGTCCATTGGCCTTTCTCCATGTCCATGTTCTTCAGGACGTGCCACCACAGCAGGAACTCGACTTCCAGATTTTTCGCCAATGACACAAACATCGCTTAACTCTCGGACCCGGCTGCCAGGGTGTCAGGTTTTGTTGAGATGTCAAGCGTTCTCTTACCCAATGGGTCAGCTTCTCGAGCCAGCTTGGGAACGATTTGATTCGCAAAGTCATTCTTGGCCGACATGACGACCAGGACGACGCTGCGCGGCTCCTTCATGTAGGACAGAATGACGTCCTGGACAAGCTGAACCTCCCTCGCCGACTGTTGCTTGGTTTCCGAATGGATTAGTCCGGGGAGGCCAACTATGGTCAGATGTGGGCGGTCTGGCCCCAACGCCTCGATCCTCAGGAGGTCGTTATGGTTCCTTTGGCCTCAACCAGGATGGGTCATTCTTCGAAGCTGTCTAGCTCTTCGCAGAAATCGCTAAGTGATCGTTGCTCGATATCACTGCGAGAATCGTGCGGCAGGATAGATACGCGGACACCCACATGGGTATGCTTTCGAAGGACAAGCTCAGTAGGAAACCGAGTGCAAACGTTGCTTTTGACCGAAAATCCAACAACCGATATGGCCTCGAGAACAGAGCTCTTGCCCGATGACTGATCACCACAAACTATAATCTGTGGCAGGGAGATATAGTGGCTTATGCCCTGGGAGCGGAGAGTATCGATCGAATTGAGAAGATCCAGCTGCTCTGCAGAAGATAGATCCTGTAGGATATCCGTCTGGAAGTTTCGCACAACCTTTTCGAACTGTGTGTGCAGAGATGAAGGATGATAATTTGTTGATAGTAATAACGTCGAGATTGGAGGTAAATCGAGAGATGAACCCTTATATACTGCTCATAGTGACCATCTACTTCTGCGGGGAGTAAGACTCCCTATCAAGTGAGGGTTGTAGGTATGTGCAAGGGATACATTCTCATCGACTGGTCAAGGCCACGCAGTAGTAACTGACTATTAACTATGGCTCGGTTTGAATAATGCAACCTAATTGTGGAAAGTGTTTCATCCGTTGATGTTGTTATTATAATTGCTTCTTTGTCCTAGAACTTGGGGTTGTGCCATCGTATTCACTTTTGTAACCGGTCATTTACAGAGCGTGGAACAATTCACAGTGATAACGAGGTGTTTTTACATAAAGTGCAAGTAGTAATTGCGGGTGAAGATGCAAAAGATAACGGCGGAGCGATATTTTAGGGGAATAGTATGGACACGTCTGCTGAACCGTTTTCCCCTGGTATTCTGTATTATTCTATACTTTGGCGGGCATCCGGTGAGGATATTTGCTTGGTCGCGTTAGCTCCTTCTTGAGGTTGTGCATACTTGCAAAACTCTAGATACACTGATCGTGCGTGATCTAACTAACGATACCTATCAGGTTAACTATAGCTGTCAATCAACTACAGAAAATGGTATTCCCCCATTGCAGGTGAATCAGAGGTCGTCGTCGATGGAAAAGATCCAGGTCGCAGTCATGCGCAGGGTATAATTTAATGCCACGGCCGCATTTGGTATCCGCATCATGCACTTGCGGGACAGCCGGGGCCCAGACGTAGCAGCTACAGTACAAATTACCTCACCTTTTTCTTACTCGTGCTACGAAGACTTGACGATATTTGACTGGATTGCTTATCGTTGGACATGTCTTATTTTCTATCGGTAGGGAGGATACCGAAGCATACCTTCGAGGGAGAAGAAAATGGTTTGTTGTAGCAAAGACGTTGGTGGTGAGATACTATATCTGTGCAATGTATCAGTGACCTACGTAAGCATACTGCGACCCACCCACACCATGCTTACGTAGGCCACTGATACGTGTTAACATTAGCCTTATACCTCCCGCATGGCTGGCCTCCCGCATAGCCGTGATAGCGCACTGAACTCCATTTGTCTTAGATCAAATAGGTTCTAAATAACGTAATTCCCGCCCGAGTGAAACACCCGCCCGAGTGAAACAGTTGCACCCATTAGGAAAAATTCAAAATCGATTAACTTAACCAACACCCATCAAATTAGCTAAATATAGCGATTTTTACATGAATTGATCCTATGGCCAACTTGCCCACACCCACTACACTTAGGCGGAGCCCTAGTAGCCGGCTGGTCTGCCTGATTAGGTGTTTCGCCCTGCGCATGCGATACTACCTCACCTGCTTCAACTGGCTGAATTGGCTGCTGAGCTAGCTGTAGGCCCTCTTGTACGGTCAAACCATCATTGCAGGGTATCTGCCTAGTTGACCGTTTGCGCTTCTTGGTAACCTTCTCATTTGCTGCGCGTAAATTGGCGATTTCTTGCGCTAGTATCGTAGCGTTATGCATCGAGAGATAGGCACTCTTGATAATCTGATCCACAGCGGTTTTTGATGGCGACGGAGGGCTATTTGAGCGCTGTTTTAATAGATTTTTGAGTAAGGTAGCCTGTTTCTGTAGCTGAACCACAGTTCTAGTTGTTTTTGGTGTGAATTGGCTAGATCTGCTGCCTGGTCGGCTATTTGGCTGGCTGTTTGGTGGTGTAGGCGTTCGTAGAGAAATATTGAGCTTCGAAAGCACTCTTTCTGCATCGATTGGCACGAGCCCACTAGCTGCGAAGCTATTTTGAATAATCTTTGGTTCAAAGGCCTCAAGCCGCGCGCGTTGGTAGTCATCGAGAAAGTCAAACTTATCGTCAAACTTATCGATGTGGTTATAGCCCCTACGCGCAAGATCAATTATATAGCGACCGTACGAGCGTTTCAACACTGCAACACAGCCAACATCTAGTGGCTGTAATAGATGCGATGAATGCGCAGGCATACAGAGTGGTATAATATCGTTTTCAGCGCAGATTCGATCAAATTGAGGCGTAAGATGGCTACCGTGGCCATCAAGAATTAGTAGCCGAAATCGGCCACGTACACGCGAATTTGTTGATGGGATAAATAGCTTTTGTAGCCATCGTAGGCCAATCTCATCGGTAGTCCATCCGTTATTCGAGACCTCAAATCGCCAATCTTGTGGTAGGTTATCAAACCAACCAGCGATTGCAACCTTGCCTTTGAAAATCACACATGGCGGTAGTGAATAGCCATCTGCGCAAATTGCTTCGATAGCAGTAACCCATTCACGATTTCCTGGCTGTATTATCGATCGCCGACCGTAGTAATCAGCTCGCGTAACTACCTTCTGTGTATATATAAGACCCATTGCAAATCCTGTCTCATCGAAGTTGTAGATATCCTCCGGTTGAATACCGTTCTCATCGATTACGCGTTGTACGGTTGCGAACCACGCTCGTAGCGATTTTGGATCTTCGTTCAGAGCACGTTGGTAGTCATATCGCCTAGAGAAGCGTGATCGAATCTCTTCGCGTCGATTTATAAAGGTTGATGGCCAATTCTTGCCAACAGTAGGTGATGGCTGGCTACCGCGAGCAGCCAGTAGGATATTAGCCATCTCTCGTACAGTAGTAGGCCTAGGCGCTGCTCCACGTGTATCCATAGAGATGATCCATTCGACTAGCGAATCCTCTTCTAATTGGGTCAGTTTATGACCAGATGGGCGTATATCGACGCGTGAGGGAAGGCTATTCGCCCGTCGGGATAAGGTAACATATGAAACACCAAACTGCTTCGCAGCTGCGCGGATTGATCTAAATTGACCCTTTTGAACAGCTTGTAGGGCTAATAAGACCCTGCCCTCTTGCTCAGTCGCTTTTTGCCAGGATTCAGCGCGTTTTGGTGGCATGGTAGATTGTTAATGTAGGTAAGTAGGTAAAAAGACGCGATTTCTGGTGAAGTGTTTCACTCGGGCGGGAATTACGTTATAGGGCAACTACAACTTTTCTCAAGGAACCAGCCGGGGAGCTCTGCACTAGTATCCTAGATACGAGAACTGGCTTTTGTCTCTGTGATCTGCACGGGGAAGGGGAGTTTCAGGAACGATAGTGCTGACTATCTGGGGAGCGAAGAGGTTGTCGAACGAACACATGGGCATCCAATGTAATGGGTAGAAATCGAGAGGAGGAATGAAAAAGGGTGTATATTGATAAATATCGATTGATGTCTAGGACACTGGGCCTTGACATTGAGCTTTTGCATTCATATCGAAAACTACCGAACAGTTCAATCCAGGGAAACATCGCGGCCTTAGATATTGACTCCAGCATATTCAGAAAGAGAAGTACTCTTGGTTTTCTAGTATATTTAAGTCGGCCATCTCCGAGACCTTTCAACGTTCCTGATTTTGAAGTTGAGATTGATGATATCTACACGGTATTCGAGGCAGGAAAGAGAGTATGTGGATATCGTATGTACGGTAGTGTCCTGGGCCGATGTTATCGTTGAGGGTGGCTTTAGCTAATAAAAAGGAGAGAGATTATCATTTCAAGCATCATGTAAGGAAAAGAACATAAATTTGAAAACCTTAGTATATCACCGATACTTTGGATCCGCGAAACGTCAATAACCAAAAAATCCACGGGGAGGTTGTTGTCAAAATCGACCCTTCTATCACCAGACTTGGGACACGACTTGCTGAACGTAAACAGCAAAAGCTTGAGTTAATAGCTAAAGCAGGCTCGGTTGAATCATACAGAGGCAAAACGTTGACCTCAGTTGCCACGGCTAAGGAACTCCCCTGTTGACATTTGCGGTTCAAAATTGCTGCGAATTCCTCGTTAAGTCCATCCTGCGCCACACAAAGTTCTTCATAAGAGCGCTCGCAGGGACGAAACTGTCGTCGGAAGTCGTCTTCTTAGATCATGGTAGGTCCTTGGACTATACGCGCCCTCGTGAGGAAATTTGACTGGAGGCCCCTGCTCAAATCTTTATCATTGACGATTAAATGGATCCGACTAATGATTGCATCATCAAACTAAATGCGGCGATCCGAAGTCAAGAATAGGATTTTCTTGAAACATTCCAGCTTTTGGAGAAACACGGTCACCAGGCGGTTGTGGGTGTTATGGTAAGATGTGCGTTGCTCTATGAACGTATTTGCCTCATTCAAGACGAGCACGGCATTGAAGTGTTTGATGATCTTGAATACAAGTTCAAATTTGTTGCTCAAGCGCATGGAAATCTCCGTGGTCGACATCGAACTCGTCCGTGGATGTCTGGGAAAGTCAGGGAGGCCACAATCTTTGCCACAACTCGCTGGTACCGAATAAAGAGGCAGCTGGAAATATTCCGAGGTTGCTTCAGCTGTGGACGTCTTTCCCACGCCAGGTGGGCTACTAGCACGTGGTAGGACGGAAACCTATACAGTATAATAATAAATATTTGACCTTCTCTATCAATTCAGCCCCATCGACCTTGAATCCGCAATATCGAGAAATTGGTATTCGAGACTAAACCACGTCTCGTCGTTTCGAGTCACTTATTTTCCCGCGTCGAATTTGGCACACTGTAGCTCTTTTGTGTCAACGTAGGTGCTAAGCATTTTTGTAGTACTGCTTGGAAATTGCGCGTCCGATAGCTATGCAAAAATCACCTCTCTTGTTTGGATAGCATTGTCAACGGGATTTCGAAAAATTTGTGCCTTTCGCTTGGTCGGGCTTGAGGTAATACAGTTTTTGTTTTCGACTCTGCTACGCAATTTAGTCGTGAAAGGCAGATATTGCGACGCGTACATGTGAGCTTCGCACACAACTTAGCATAGTATTCCGCACTAACACTAGGTAGAATTGTTGAAATACATCCATTGCGATTTATGATTTGGATGATTGCACTAATTCTACGTAATGAATGAAACAGCGAATGCTTTATGCTGCTTTAGTTCGCACAAAGCCTGTATTAAAGGCTTCGTCTACGTAAGGTATGACTCTATTTTATACAATTACCATCTTTGCGACGACCCATCCATGCGAGAGGCCGTCCTCATGGAAGGCGAGCCAAGTACCCACTCAACTCTCAAACCTGCATGGCTGGTTGAGTTATCAATTCCGGGCTCAAAGCGCCACGAATACCCCGCTCCACGCACCTTCACTCGGTGGGTGCCTACTAGGGTCACCTACGGGTAATTAAAACGGAGGATGGCAGCATTAGAACGTTGTCAAACAAATTCAGATTCACCTGTCAATCGTATCATATTGAGAATGGACAATGTTGACTCCCTCAAGTCAGCCCTGAGGCAGAGAGCCATGGCTGCGTCATCATCGAAGCAGCCACTCTCTGACGTACAATATAGCGATGGATTCGACATCTTTCTACAGGGCACTGGTTGGACCATTTATCAAGACTTCATTATACCACAACTGGTGGAGCTTCTGACGCCTCTCTTCAACGCTCGCGCTCGCATCTCGGTGCTAGAAATTGGCCCTGGGCCAAAGAGTGTTCTTGGTTATCTTCCCTGCAGTCTAAAGCGGAAAATTAGAAGATTTGCCGCATTTGAACCTAACATTCTCTTTGCCAACGCGTTGGAAAAATGGTTCTCACCTGGATTCGCATCGGACCCGCCATTTCCCTGCCTGGATGACCTGCCCGATATCCGCCGAGCGCCATTTATCCTTCATGACGACGTAGACAGCAATGCAGCAAAGGGCGCGCACGACAATGACGAGAAGTACGACGTGATTCTGTTCTGCCACAGCATGTACGGCCTGAATCCCAAAACTAAATACATTGAGCGAGCGCTGGATATGCTTGTTAATCAGCCCGAAGGGGGAATGGTAATAGTTTTCCATCGCGACGGACAGCCAAAGTTTGATGGATTAGCATCCCATCGAACGGCTTGTTTTCCTACCGGAGCAATTTGCGTACCGAATGATGACAATATCTTGGACTGTTTTGCTTCATTCGTTGCAGGATATGTCTTGCACGAAAGGGATGCAGATACTACCATTCGAGTTGGTTGGCGTGATACATGCCGACGGTTGAGTCGACGAGCAGACCCCAAGGCGAAACACCTCATTTTCGGCTCACCAACCTTGATGATCGCCTTTAACAATCACTCAACTGCTGTACGGGAACTGGCGACGTATGTTCCACTATCGGATTTGACCATGCCGATTAAGAATTGGGAGGCCCGCTTTCATCGGCCCGCATCAGTCGTTAGGCCGACAGAGATCCAACAAGTACAGACCTGCGTTCAGTGGGCTATCCAACATAAGACCGGTCTCACTGTCATTGGAGGGGGCCACAGTGGTCACTGCCTATGGCCCCATATTGTTGCAATTGATATGAGTGTATTCGACGAGATTCACATTTGTCGGGCAGGGGATGGGGAAGCGGGATCCAGTCTCGATTGTCAGCCGCTGATCGTCGCGGGAGCTGGGTGCAAAACAGGGGATATCATTCGCCAAGCTATGGCAGCTGGTGTAACCGTGCCTTTGGGTGCCCGTCCCAGTGTAGGTGCGGGCATGTGGATACAGGGAGGACTTGGACATTTGACTAGGTTGTACGGACTCACATGCGACGCTATCGTTGGAGCCATTGTTGTCGGCGTTGATTCTGGCCGGGTCCTTTGTGTCGGCGATGTACCAGCACAACATCGTCCGGAGGGTGCTGTCCGCCCGGAAAATGAAATAGAGCTCTTATGGGCACTCAGAGGCGCTGGCACGAACGTTGGAATTGTCATTAGCTTGACGTTCAAGACATTTCCTGTTCCGACCTACCGGGTCCGAACCTGGGATTTCCCGCTTGAAGATGGAAATGATGCACGACTAAAGCTCCAAAACTTTGGGGAGGCCTTTGCCAGTTGTCTCCCAACAAATTGTTCTGCGGATGCATATCTGTATTGGCAAATGGACCAGATTTATCTGGGGGTGACCATATTCGAAACTTCGACGTCCGGTGACAGCTTACGAACCTTTCCGTCGATGCCTGGTACAATGGAAATGATGTTGGGGCCAGAGGAAAGTTCGAAATCCATGAACAGCTTAGAATTGTTTGAGGCCGAGATGTACATGTCCAGAATGCACGGCGGACACGGCGGCGGCAAGACCTCTTCGTTCAAGCGATGTCTATTTTTGGAAGGTATGGGAGCGCAAAACATCACGGAGATTTTGGTGAAGGCCATCGAGGATCGCCCATCGCCGCTCTGTTACATTCACCTACTTCATGGTGGTGGTGCAGCCAGTGACGTGGCAATTGATAGCACAGCTTTCGGTTGTCGAGACTGGGAATATGCCTGTATCATAACAGGTGTGTGGCTTCGCGACCACGATGGCAGCGAGATCGCCCGCGATGTCGTGGAGTGGGTATACCACGTCGTCGACAATCTGCTGCCCTTGAGCCGTGGAGTCTATGGGGCAGACCTGGGACCTGACCCTAGAGATTTGGTACTCTCGTCTCGGGCATTTGGGTCAAATCGACGGCGCTTAGCCTACCTCAAACAAGCAGCGGATCCGTACAATGTCCTGAGTTATGTATGCCCGTTACCAAAGGCTGAGACAGTAAAGAAGCTCGTCATTCTCATTACCGGTGAACATGGCGCTGGAAAAGACTATTGTGCAGATGCTTGGGTTTCTTCATTTGCAGAGAGACTTCCATGTGGACTCATGGCAAGAGCAATCAGCATTAGTGATGCGACCAAACGTGAGTATGCAGCAGCTGTTGGTGCTGACCTGGGCCGTCTACTTCGGGACCGTACTTACAAAGAGCGTCATCGATCAGCGTTGACAGAATTTTTCCATGATAAAGTCCGACAAAGACCGCAGCTTCCAGAGGAGCATTTCCTGGATGTGGTTCACGATGCCGTGGACGCCGACGTGTTGTTGATTACGGGAATGACAGATGAGGCCCCAGTCGCAATGGTCTCGCATTTAGTGCCTGCCACTCGAGTCATTGAGGTTTACGTCAGGGCATCAAATGAAACTAGAAACGCTCGTCGAGGCTGCAGCACCACCGACAGTGGTGGCTGCAGCATCACAGCTCAGGGCCACTTCCAGGGATTCGCAAGCCTGGTTTCGAACCACACGCCCACCTTTTTCTTCGACAACGATGAGACAGGAGACAAACGGGTGAAGCATTTTGCCGAGAAGTACCTCCTCCCGCTCATCAGCGAAGACATTGAACGACTCGCCCAAATGGTGGGTTTGGTGCACGACTTTCCGCGGCCGAGAGTCGATTTCCGCCACGTCTTGAACATTTCCCAGCAACCAGGCGGGCTAGAGTTATGCACGTCTTTGTTGCACCTTCAGCTCCCAGATCAATGGCCCAAAATCGACACTATAGTTTGTTGTGAGGCTGGTGGATTTGTATTTGCTTCAGCACTTGCCTCGCGAGTAGGTGTACCGTTGGCCTTGATCCGAGAAGCGGGCAAACTACCGCCGCCAATTATTTCTGTCCCCAGATCCGCATCACATATATCTTCCCCTACTCCTATGTCCGAACCCAAAGAGAGGCATATCGAAATTGGCTTGGATGTGATCCCGCCGGGGGCGTCAGTTGTGGTTATAGATGACGTACTCGCCACGGCAAACACAATGCTCGCAGTCCTACAACTTCTTAGCAAGACCAAAGCATGTGCTGATGTCAAAGTGCTTGTGGTCGCCGAATTCCCCATCCACCGTGGGCGTGAATTGTTGAGGCAGCACGGCTATGGTGGAGTTAGTATACAGAGCCTCCTGGTTTTCGATGGCGCATAAGGAAGCGAAGAAGTGCGATAAGAAGGGCCGGGGTGGCAAAATTCGAAGCAGTGAAACAGTCCGATCTCTCTTCTCATACTACTGAGATAGCTAGCGACAAGATTTCGAGACATCATTGGATCCATCTTTTGGAGCGCGATGGCATCGGATTTTCAATCTTTGCTTTGGTGTGCCATACGTTCCCATTTCTGGAAAACGACGTCCCAGAATTTAACTCTGTTTCTTTCTCTTCCCACTCCACAAAATTTGTTGTGAATTCGCATGTTCCCAATTACAATTGGATCACTCCTGTAATAGCCTTTTATTGAAGTATTTTGTTGCTAGAGCTTTTGTTATAATCTTGGGGTTGATGGGGGTTCGACCGTATAAACTATGCTAAGTCCCGTGAGTACCCTTCACATTAAAAAGAGCCGGACAAAGAAGTGATAGATATGCTTGATGAGAATAAAAACACTGCAGACAGATCCCAACGCAACGTATAACAACCTCGAAAGTTGGGCGACGAGAATTTCGGTAGTCAGGAAGAAAGCTTGTATTCATATCTGCACTCGGTGCTCGCTTCCTTTGGAATTGGCTCCGCCATCCGATCCACTCGATCTATCACCCGGTAATGGTATGCAAGCGTATAGGCAAAGATCTTGCGTCTCCAGTAGTTTTATAGAGTAAGCGTATTCGCTTCTCTATCCACACCTCTGAAGACAAGCCGGAGCATTGACCCCTCCAAGAAGGATATCCCCTAAGCGGAGCCGAGCCAACCCCCTTTGCTTCTCCAGTAGACCTGAAGCAGATTATTAGCTACAGCTAAGTACTTGATCCATTGATTGCTTACAGAATTTTCTTTCACCTGGAACTAACACGACATCGCCACTTGAGAGGGTAAGGTAATAGCATCTGTAATTGAGAACCAAAGCATTGGTAATGCTCTTGAACACTTGTTTTTTCTGGAACAAGTTCTCCGCGGCAACGAAGACAATGAGATCACTGGGTCTCTCTTCAAGGGGGGCTAAGCCATAATTCACTGGCAAAAGTCAACCCGTCGAGAACACCGAACTTGTCTGCTGTGACAGCGACACTGAGGACAGCTGTGCAATGATAGTCGGAGGTACCGATTTGTTCTGATGATGTATTACTGCACAACTACATCGCAGTGCGGTCGCATTCTCATCCGGCATCAGTGCCCCCAACGAAATGCCCGCAACGAGCGTACGAGGGCTTTCTTTTGGACTCAGCTCAAAGATAGAGCATAGAATTGTCGAGGTCTCACATCCATGACCGGAAAGGGTAAATCATCCCTGTCTACCATATCTGATTGACTGGAACATGGTCCACACAGATACAACTGCTCTCCAATTAAGCTACCTGTATGGTAATATTCCGGGTGAAGGACCTAAGAAACAGGCGGATCCACTATCACGGTTAATCAAGATGATCCAAGCGGAATTCGAGCCCAATGGTGATATAAAGCCAAGTTTGATTTGCGTTCATTTTACCTCCAAGCCAGCCCTTCGCAAAGTCAAGTCTCAGACGTAAGAGAGGATGAGAGCTAGTTTGATTTCGCAATTGACAACGAGCTGTGGCTGGAGCCGGGTATATGGATTGGTGAGTGGATTTTGGGATTTTGGCTTGCAACCGCCTCACTTTGCTGATTGTAAGGAGACTTGACACGGCACCATGGGTCATTGCTCGCAGCATTTTGCCATAAGCCAACTTGCGATTTAGCTGGTCGTCTCGTGTGAAAATTATTCGGCGTCAGTGACACTGCGTTACAGGGTTTATGATTCAGTCTTGTTCTGTGCTCCTTGACTTTCCCAAGGTAATATGCAGATCAACGATGCATTACTCAATGCGAGCTAGAGCGCATAGCGCCAGAAGTGTGTTGGAAGTTGGAGATTGTAGATTTTATATTTTGAATTTAGTGCTACTGAAAGGAGACAGAGTAAAATGATACTACACCGATGCAGGTCAGCCTAGTTCTAGCTCATCATGCCCCTTGTATTCGCAGAAATTCGGTATTGAAGATAATTCAACCGAGAGTTATCAACTGGTTCATGACTGCAACACAACAAATTCCTGCAAATGGGCTACCTGTCAGAAGCGGTAGAAATTGGTACCACGTTATTGTCAAAAACAGTGATTTCAATCGAGTGAGCGCAACGTTACGATTCCTGTAGGACTAACCGTTTATTTCCTCTCTAAGACCGACTCAGTCAAGTGGAACGAGAATTGCATAAGTCTCTGGACATATTTGTATCCCCTTAACCACGTCTGAACTACAGCCACTTATCTCATAGCTTTACTTAGACATCAAGATAGGACAATCTGGGTTCATATTCCTAGTTGAAATCAAGTGCAATTTCTTCCTGTGCACCGCATTTGGATCCGGTACTCGGAGTAAATGCTGCCTTCATATAAGTTTCCAGCCCTTCCTGATTGAACACTACGGAGCACGGAACTTTTTCTTTACCACATTTCATCCTCGAGAGAAAGTAATCAAGCGAGAATGGGGCATGAAAGAACCAATCTGTGTGGGAATAAGGCAAACCATTTCAAAGTGCTATTTAACGTGCACTGACGTTTCTATGCTGCCATTTGACACCGGCGGTCTCACGAAGGAAATCTCTTCCATTGTCAAAGTGAGTAGGAGACCTCGGTGTATGGCAGGTCAGGGTGGGTCGTGAGAGGATATTGGAAGATCTGTAGCGTTGGTGATGTACTCTTGCATCCTATCTTTGCCGCTTGCAGAGCAAGATCGTGCCAGCAATTATTTTGCTTGGCCAAACTTTTACTCTAGACGCTCGGTTCTGGAGTATAAAGCGGGGCATCATGTTACTGTCCCACGATTTAATAGCTGCGGCTTCGTTATCAACGTCGCGGAAGTTGAGATAAAGGCCAACTTCAACCCGGAATGTTAACAAATTTCCATGAAAAGACGGTTACAGTGACTAAGAAGCTGTTAGCTGATTTGCACCTATCTAGGCCATTTTTGGCATATGGAAAGCGTTTGCAAAGGAGCAAAAGTACGCTTCAGACGTTGAAGAGACAAGCAGATAAAGCTTACATTGTGGGTCAGAAAAGAAGTCGTCACAGATTGGAAGAGTCAGATGCGTATATATAGATATATGTATATAAATTAATGAAAGAAAAAGGCAAGATTCCAAAGAATCGACCCTCGTTTACATATAGCAAGTGCGCCGGAGGATGGAGTGAAGTATTATGCGCGGCCATAAGAGGAAGCAGACCAGCCAGATTGGGGATAGAAGCGGTCTTTCCTCTCCATTCTTTCTACCTTTTTGGACAACGTGCAAGTTGACCTCTTCGTACTGGCATATAACGGATTGCACCGAAGTTGCTGTGATCGCGAAGAAAAACGCGCTCACTCCCGCGCCGAAAAAAGCCTTTAGAATGGTAGCCAACTGACATATCTTGCTTGGCATGCAGAAGCTATAAAAGCCAAGCGGTTCAGACTAGACTTGTTGTTTATATGGACCCCGAGCCACGAAAACCTATCTATCTGATCCTCGGCACTACCTAGGCCGCCCCTGTTTGCAGGTCAAATTTATCAGTAGGGGCGCTTTGAACGAACTACGACGACGCCGGGTCGTGGTTTGGCCTATATTGATCCATCATTCTCACACTCCAATCTCTTTCATCATGGCCTCCAAATATTGTATTGTGACTATTGTCATTCTGCGTCAACATTTCGATTGCACCCGCTATTCTTAGTTGCAAATTTCATGCCCGACAACCGATCAAGTCCCTAGCAGCCTATGGGCTATCGAATTTATGTCACAAGAAGAGGCCTGGATCTGTGAACCGGCTGCCAATATCTCTTGCCGGCATAGTTCCCGGCCGACCCAACACCCAAGCGGCTAGGCAAACGACAGCCACAGCGAGGGTTTTCCTCATGTAAGCCTCGGTGGTCGTTCCAGAAAATTCTAATGCACTCAAAGCAGCGGTAACACCCACGGCTCTTATTACCGTTTTCTTCTCTTCCTAGACGAAATCCAGTGTTAAGGCTCTGTAACAGCATTGCTTCCCCGTTGGGAATTATAGTTCGCCCGCCATCTCTCAAGGGTTTTGATCCTGACCGATGTTATCGGGGTTCTTTTCACTACTGACAGGGAAGAGATTGAAGAAAGCTAGTTGTCTTGTCCCTAATGTAGCGTGACTTTCTCACAGATTTTGCACTCGAAAGATGGTGTATGACAAAAGAGAGAAGGGAGGGTGGCATTTTTTTGTGTTTGAACGGAACATTTTCCAGGAGTCAATCGAAGCTACCATGAGGGTCAGCCGACGGCTACACCTGGTCACTGAGTAGCGCTAGTATTTCGCATTGGAAGTATGCTGATATTTACAGGACAATTGCTCTTAGATAGTCACGAAGTCGTAGTTTTTACTTGGGAAGGAATGGTTTTTAGCTGAGGAGAATACGCAGATTCCTTCCGTATATGCGGTATCCATGCATTAGGCGCACTCACTTCCTAGTTGGTTCACTTCAGTACCACCACGCTTGCTTTGCGAGTGCGCAGAAGTGAAGTATCGTTGTTCGCGGACACTTTTGGCTCTCGATTGACAGCATTTCCTACTGCTTCAAGCTAGGTCTTCACGGTAAAAGACAGCTTAACTAGTTGTCTTCGCTCCGTGCCTGGCACTCGGCCGAGATCAGACTCTGAAGAGGAGTTGCCTTTGGAGGGGTTTGGGCCCAAGATAGTGGCTACACAGGCTCTCCTGAATGAACCACGTGTAGCAACCTAAGTACAACCTTTATTCCCCTTCCACAACGCGGGTCAGGCCCCGAGCTACCGTCTGGTCCGCCTTTCAACACACGCATTCTGGTGTAGGTACTCACACCGCAGCCAGTTCCACCTCGTGCCCTCACGATGATACCGCTACTTTCCGTTCGCCAGTATCCATACTAGTCACCGTTCAAGACTGCAAATAATTGCTGTAACGAGCATGTTTTCCCCAAAGTCTGGATGCCATATTTCAAGCATTTACAGACTCAATCTGTACGCGAATTAATCTAGTGATCAGTTCCATAAATTAATTGAAGTAGAGCCAACCTTTCCAGTCGTGCAACCCAGCTATCCGTGGACTGAGTGCAATGGCCAGCTCTACAACCCTCACATAGATGACTATTGTGTGGGCCTGTGCTGCTGGTGGACACTGGTGGTCTTTCCACTTGAATCCCATTCCATCGTTTGATCCAGTAAGAGACTCTCTCGGCATATGAATCATCTAAGGTTGGTCGCGCGAGCTCGTTGCAACTTTTGCAACGCTGGTGATACACCCTCGCATTGTACAGATGTCCGTGATAAAGACGAATGGTGACGGCGATTCTTTTGCTTGACCAGCCTTTTGCTCTGCACGCTCTCTTCTGGCATGTAAAGCGTCCCATGATGTTTGTATCCCGCATTTTGAAATATTCGGTATCGTCATCATCATCGCGGAACGTGATATGTAGGTCATGCTCGGCCAGCAAATCTGACACTTGCTCATGAAGAGACTGATACATTGACCAAGAAGCAACACCGTGGCCTTCTGCATTTGGAGCCATATCCGAATCGAATTGAATCTTTTGTTAACAAAAAACAATGCAGCCCGTGAAGCGCTGTTGATTTCTGGCTAGTTAAATCTTTAAAGGAGAACGGAAGGGGTTAGCTACCGGACTTTATAGCTAAATTCAGTTAAAGAATCTTGCCCTGGATATCTGGTCGAAGTAGACGCAGAGTCCGCTCGCCTAATCATAAGTTCCACTCTAATTCATCAACAGATAAGCGCATGTTGTTGTGGATGTAGCGCCCCTGAAAATCCTATTGAACAGGACATAGAGACACTGTCTTTTCTGGCCACAACACAATAAGCGCAGACGATTGGCCAGTAGGGTCATAAGGGGAAGAGCCCCTCGCGTAATGATCGCGGAGGGGCACCGCATCTGATCGTTAAGAGAATTCCATCAATTATAACTCCATTGTGTATATAGTACAGCGGGCATTGCGCATACTGGTAGTCACTGTACTGAAGAGGTGGCATGGTTCAACAAGTCACTGCACTCGGTCACGCGCGGAATGAAGGAACTGACTTGATATTTTGACACCTCGTGACAACAAATTGATTGTTAATTTGCACTGGTGAAGGCCATTTCGAAGATATGTTTTTCGCTCTAGTAGACCCGCATGGATGGCCTCCCCGTGGACGGCCTCCCGCTTGAAAGGCATCCGCATGGATAGCCTCTGCATGAATGGCCTCTGCCTGAGCGGCCTCCTGCTTTCTGGCTATCTCCTACGGGACGTATTATGGAGGAGAGTTGGAAGACCACACCTATTAAATGGAACAAATGGCCGGATATCTGCTTATACTTCAGCCCAAAATATCGCTTGACAGTAAAACCTTCTGGCTTTTGAGCTAACGACCACAATACCCACCATGCTCGCCAGCGACTTTCCCCAATATATGTCCACAAGCCTAGATTATGCCAGTCAAAAGCATGATTCAGATAGTGAGGAAGACTTGGACACACCCGCAAGAGCTTCCCTCTCATCCAAGTTTCATGCAAATTCAGATTTGCCTAAGTTATCAATCTCCGGTTCCGGGGTTGAAGCCCCATATTCCGTCCCAACGAGCGAGGAAGCTCTAGTCAACCTCACTCGAAGGTGGGTTGTTGCAGTTGTGATTAACCTGGCGAGTTACTGATCGTCCATTAGTTGCACAAACTCGGGCAATACCCTACCTCACGACGATCAGGCTGATCCCAGTGGATTTGCAGATGAATCCTATCATCTATGCCACGAAACATCGCGTCTGTTGGACTTCCCACTAAAGGGGGCTGAAGAACCCGCTAAGAAGCTTGCAGAAGCTGTACGGACAATTCTCGAATGCGTGGGAGAAGACACGGAGAGAGAAGGATTACGTGCAACTCCAGAACGGTACGCTAGAGCCATGCTTTACTTCACCAAAGGATACTCAGAGAGTGTCGGGGATCTGCTCAATGGGGCTGTTTTTCATGAAAACTACGACGAAATCATTATCGTGAAAGATATTGATATATTCTCCCTCTGCGAGCATCACATAATTCCTTTTACTGGAAAGGTAAATCCCTAGCTCCATCTTTGAAACACTGTAATAACCAGACAAGTCAGATGCACATAGGCTACATCCCAAACGGCCGCGTACTTGGTTTGTCCAAATTGGCCCGTTTGGCTGAGATGTTCTCTCGCAGACTTCAGATTCAAGAACGTCTGACCAAGCAGGTAGCTATGGCCATTCATAACGCTCTCAAACCACGAGGTGTTGGGGTCATTATGGAGTCCTCCCATCTGTGCATGGTGATGCGTGGCGTTCAAAAGGCCGCAAGTACTACAACCACTAGCTACATGGTTGGCTGCCTGCAGTCGAGCGCAGAAACCAGAGGGAAATTCCTGGCCCTCCTGAATCGGCAATAGCCAAATTCCCTCGGATTTTATGGCCTCGGTGATCAACAGGATAGAGAACCTTATAGTTTCAATCCTGCAGGCACAAGCGTGCACACGTTCACTGATGTTGCATACGCACCGACTACTTTTCTGCATGCCGCTTTTGACTTTGTCCCACGTTCGAGGTCTGCATATCCACGTGCAGATGTCCGAGGTTAAATCGATTCTCTCGGAGTGGAGTTCCTCGTTGTGACTTACAGGAATAGTCATAGGGTAACCATGAATTATACACATCGCTTCCATATTCAGCCCCCTTCTGACTGACATTCTACGATGGGCATATAAACATGGATCAGCGAATCAAATTCCAAGAAGAGTAATACAAGGATGAAGCGGAATAATTGTGGAATTCGCTCCTCGAACTTCATTGCAACCGGAATTCCATACGGAAATAAAGCGTCCCCAGTTTACTAAAGCGGTGAATGGTGCGTAGGTAAAAAATTCAAGAGTCATTTAATTGGCCGGAAAGCCTTAATTTCCTTGAAGTTCCTTGAACTTCTTTTTTCCCGTTTAGATCAAAAAGACATGAAGGGCGGTGTTTGTACCTGTACTAATTATTTGAAATTCCCTGCAGCGGCTGTATATTTAAACTCAGACACATGCGGTTTAGTGTGCTATGAAAGCCATGTTGGATGCCGACCATGCCGAAGGCCCTCTACACGGCAGGCCCTCTATGCGGGAGGCCCTCTACGCGGCAGACCCTCTCTGCGGGAGGCCCTCTCTGCGGGGGGCCCTCTATGCGGGAGGCCCTCTCTGCGGGGGGCCCTCTATGCGGGAGGCCCTCTACGCGGCAGGCCCTCTATGCGGGAGGCCCTCTCTGCGGGAGGCCCTCTATGCGGGAGGCCTATCAAGTGACCAGACAATGCGCGATAATACAGTATCAAAAATTTGCGAAGTTTGCTGCGTAAGAAAAACAGCGGAACCTTGGTCAAGCCACATAAATGTATGTTCGACCTCCGAGTATTTGCATCGGGATGTTGAACATCAGATTTCACGTTCAAGGGTCAAAACTGACAGGCAGTACGGAAAAATAATTGAAAAGACTAACAAAAGAGCTTTAGAAGCGCATGGGAGGTGGTTAGCTAGCATTGGGGTGTTTCATTTGAGCTCGTAGATTACCAGTCGCCTCATATTTAGTCTAGTGGCATCTTGATTGAAAACTCGGTAAACCAGAGTCATTATTCCTTTCGTGTCAATGCATGTCCCTCGGTCTAAGATATCGCCAGGTTGTCTCGAGTGATCATCCTGGCTAGGTGCAGGTTGATGGACAATAATCAAAGAGAGAGACCCCACCATTTTCTGCGTCAGACGTATCATTGAAGCTTGCATCTTCGTTCAAGGGCAAGGGGAATGCTGTCTCGGGCGGTCTGTTATAGCTTTTCGGACAACTTGTCAAATCTATGATGGCTGGGGTCTTTGTATTTCCCGCGTTGGGGACTTCTAGCCCCAAGGAAGTCACATCAGGGCATCGAATACTGGTGATGTTCGTCATTGAGTCAGGGTGCCAACGATTCGATGGTAAGCGTTGCAGAACCTGGGTAATGACTTGCTCGCGCAGCTCATTGGTCATCAGGTTCAGTATATCCCTCTGTTGCGTGTATGTCGGGTTGTCGCCGTCGAAAGTATTCAAATTTGGAGGACTCCAATTTGTCCAAATCTTGTGATGAGAATAAGATAGCGTAGCGCGGGCCGGATGATATTTGAAGTACATTTCGCAGCAAAAACACGCTGGCTTGCTACAAGCGACGAAACAGTCGTCACCTGCAAAGGATTTTCGCATCTTGTGAAAGTGGTCCAACACCTGAACCTCAGCATGGACTTCGGGGGAGCAACGCTCATATGGAAGCAAGAACTTTTCGAAGACGCCGCCTACTTTGTCCAAGTAAAGAAGACCATTTTTGACCTTTGACCTTTCCTGGTCGCTTTTTTTGAACATTCGGTTCAGAATGCCCCGAAGATTAACGTGCGAGTCACGAGTAGGCGGAGGTGCAGCGGATAGTGCGTCAATAGCATAGACTGTATGACTCTCAAGAAGATGACTGAGGTCCTTCATGTCGTCTATTAGCTGTTTTGGAGCCCGTATATGTTGAGCGAGTCGCCCGACATAGTGACGCACTAAGAGAAATGACGAGCGTTTGCTTGCAGGGCCAAGCCGTTTCTCTTCGTTCATGCCCCGCTCAGAAAGCTCGGCAACTCGATCTGAATGACGCGTCTCATACGCAAAAATGCATAGCTGAACATGGTCATCCAAATTCATGGCCACCTCCAACCACTCAATGAGCTTGGAATCTGTGAACAAATGAGTTATGAGGTCCCCCACGATGCAGAAAAGGCTTGACGCACCGCATCCCGACGATTGTTCGTGCAGCGTAGAGAGGCAGTCTTTGATACTTTTGCAGAGACATTTTCTCTCACCTTCGATACGATCAGCAGCAAATTCAAGGCACAGGTGTAAGAATCTAGATTCTTCGCGATCGTCATCTGCTGCAGTGAGGTGCGCCCCAGATTTCAAAATACCAAGGGAGGTTTTGAGAAATGCGGCGATTTTACCGGTCTCCCTGTTGGAAGCGATACAGAAATTATAGCACGTATCGAGCTCCTCCAGACCTATTGCGGTGCATGCGCTTCCGCCTTTTTTGAAGTCGCATATAAAACAAAGATTTTGAAGAAATCGTCGGACCTGAGCTCGGCCCCTATCAAGCTCAAAAGATGTGGTTGTATGGTTGCCACGAGTCTGTCCGAGTGCATTCAAAAGGAACAGCGGTTCGTAAAATCGACAAAGAAGTCTTTCGTGGGGGTCAAGTCTTGGGCGACCGATACGTTCGGGATCGATATCAAGGCGTCTTTCTAGCGTTGCGGAACCCATTTTTCTGTTACTAAGATGTTCTGAAGACGAAAACACTTGAGTATGTCGCGACAAAGAAGCGAGAAAAATTGTCAGACTTATACGGAGGTACAGATAAACTCCGTACAGAACTCAAGAACGCGACAATGCTGATGAAAATGAGTCAAGCGGCAGTCAGGTCTCTACGCAGGAGGCTGCCATGCATGAGGCTGCCTTGCGGGAGGCCGGCACTTTTGGTCAGATGTCATGCAGCACATAAATTAAGTAAGTTCTGTCGGCCATTAAATCATTCTCCCAGTATCATCAGGTTGATAGATACCCTATCATATTGGAACGATGATAGTACTGACAACCATAGTACTGACAACTTGGCGAGCAAAAGAAGACATCAAATTAGCAAAGTGACATTCGGTGAAACAACTTACAATCGAAACGAAGAGTAAGAAAGAGGGAACAGGCAAGGCATTCTGATTATTAGAGATTCATCTCTGGGGTGCTGGGACTCGCACTTTGACCGTTAGCATTAAACTCAAAAACTACGCAACAGGTCAAAGCGAGAAAACATGAATGATCTGAATGTCGACTTCAGAAAGTCTATATCTACTAATACCGATTGCGAAAATTTCTCAGCAATTCAAATATAGATGTAGAACGTCTTGGCTCGAACGTATTTTGGCCGACCATTCCGTTTACGGAATGTAACTATTCCAACTTCTATCTTAATCGTCGCACCAAAAATAGGAATCATTTGTAGAACATGTAGAGCAGTCCTCACAAGTACAACGCCCTAATTTCCACTGCAAACATGAATGTATACACACCGCAGCAAAAAACTTTCAGTTAAGCTGTACCAAGCCAGCAAACTGTTGGCCAAAATATTGGGCGAAGGAAGCAACGGAATAGGCAGAAAAAGAGAAAAAGTAACGTAGAGGATATTCGAAGAATAGCAGCAAGCGGCAGCGGTGATGATGGCTCTATTGCATAGCAGGAGGCGGGTCTCACCTATCACACGAGGAAAGCTTTGTCATTGATCTCGCTCGTAGGCGTATTTTCGGACAATATGAACGGACGGTGATAATTGAATTACGAATTCTGTGGTATTTCCAGCCGTAATAGGAAAAAGCATCTAGCAAAATGAAACAGTAAGCTTCTTCATCATAAGCAGTCAGTACTTAGAGCCTTAATTTGTCACTAAACCGAAAGAAATCCATTCGACCTAGCTTAAGTGAACCGGAACTGACTACCTATCATAAGAATAAAACACTTGCTGGTGATGGAGGAAGGTCGTCAGGTGAAAAACACCTTTTGAATCCCCTCGAAGTGACAAAGAGGAAGACAAGATAACAGAAAGAGCAGAGAAATTTACTAGGTGTGTTGTGCTTTGTAGTGTTTTTGAAAGTTGTCTTTTCGTGTGAAACTTGTTTGACAAAGAGGACAAATAATGTGCTCTTTGGGGCCCCAGAGTGACTCAGCCAGCATTCTATGGGAAGACCATATATGTCGTCTGATGTCCTTCCTTTCAGCTGCATGATACGAGCACCGAGGGCATTTGGAACGCCTGATATGTGTTCGCATATGTTTTCTGAGTCTTATTAAATCGTGAACAGGGCTAAAGGGGATGTAAATCATACCTTAGCTGACTTTTCATGCGATAGCCATCTAGTCGTTGACATCCCTCATGTTGACAGTAGTACAATCCGTCAACTGGCAAATGTGCTGGTGCTTTCTCTGGAAGCATCTCAGCATATTCAGATTCGCATCCAGCTGTCGCCACAGAACCAGAAGCCATCGACCCAGCGTTGTCAGCATTAACAACTGAACTGGGCTCGGTGACTAGATCCATGATACCAAATCCGCTCCCGCTGCTTTCACCATCCATCCTGTCTTCATTCAATTGGAAGTCGCCGCATATGGCACTCTATAGAGCATCATCCACGTCGTATATTTCCTGAAAAGAAGCAGGCGGGTTCCCTGTGAGAGGAAGGTGCGCAAAGACTTCCGGGAATTCCTGATACTCGCTGGCGATGTATGTGACGGAAGTCTCTCGAGTCGCAGGAATGATTTCGGTAGAAAGATATCCGGAGGGGCCGTACGTGGGCTCGATTGGACCTTCAATGGTGTTGTGGAAAGAGGCGTTGGTGCCAGCGCCACGGTAACCCGGTGAATCTGACTCCATTCTCAGCTTCTTCAGGTTGGCCTGGTGGTGAGAGAGGAGAGAATTACGACTTGACGATCCGAAACTAGGTATAAATAGCCCATTCACCGGGAGAGTCATCCCTTCTGTCGTCATTCTACCACACTGAAGGCATTTCTACTGGGAAGGAAGACCACATTAGCACAAATTCAACAATACACCAAACTGGGTTGGGCAGCCATGCAGGTATCCAATCAGGCTCCGCCACGACAGTCCTTACCACTGATCTCTATTGGCCACCCAATACAGACTAACGCGCATGACTAGTTTGGAGCGTTTCAACCAACCGCATAATAGTTATGAAGATAGAAACAAGTTGCATACTTATGCGGCGGAAATCCTGGTGGTAAACATGTGTCTTCTCTACGAATTGTTATCCCCATTACAGGTGCCTTTTAGCCTGGTGATTCGATCTGAGCGCGTAGTGTCCTGCAAGCAGGGGTAATAACGTATGTGTGACTATTACGACTCGCTAAAAAATCTGGTTGACAGATCATTTAAGTAGAGGACGAGAACGCTGTCCTCGTTTTCCATAAAGCTACAGCCACCAAAGTCACGTCAGCACTGCTATAGTTACGCTAAAGAACTACCAGGGCCTGGAAGTCTTGCCTTATCTCCCAAAAACTGTCTAAGGATTTTTTTTTTCAGTGCCAAGTCAAGTCTTAGCGGGAAAAATGGTCAATTCAGACATTAACATCGCTAGCTTGGGTCAGTGTCACACACATTCAGGCAGCGACATCTCTCATGTCTTGATAGATGAGCTACTGGGCAAGGGGCCGTTCCACGCCTTTGTCACAGGATTATCGGCTCGGGTACAAGAAGGCAACCTGGAGACCATGGTAAGAGTCCTTTCGATCACGATCATTCAGAATTTGATACAAACTGCGAACCAGGTTTCAGTCGAATTTCTTGAAAGATATGACTACGCTGCCGGTCTAAGCAGCCCATGAGAGAGCCACACGCATTTAGTATACAGCGACAGCGATGAGCAGCCCCAACATACGTTCTTCCAGATTCTTGGTTTCACTTACCGGACAGACTTCCAATTCGCTGCCTATCGTCAAATTCAGCATATTCTCGACCCCCACGACAAAGAAGCTACTTCCACTGTGAAGCCATTCGGCCTCGTGGAAACTCCCATTACTGCCTCTGATAATGATTTACCCAAATACACATCCTCTCTATTTGTGGAGGCATAAAAATGGGGCGAGATACCTCAACAGACAGATTTGATGTCGAGCTATGATCCACCACAGTTTAAGGTCAGGATTAGTTTCCGAGGGGTGACGTGTACCGCAGTCGCACAGAGGGAAAAGGTAGCCCCTCATTTGGCGGCGAGTGAAATCTGTCAAAGGTTAAATATCGGCATTTAGCCGCATGAGCAACATACTGATATTTAATGAGAAAGCAATATGCGACCGGTCGCAAGACACGAGGGGCCTCATTGCGAAATTAGTAACTATGACATCAGAATTTCCTTTTAGCAGGACTATTTCCTGATGAATCTGGTCAACAAATATACCCTTGCCACGGCTAACCAGTAACCCATCTTCCGTATATGAAAGACGTTGCATTCAAACACTCCATTGTGATTTATATCCATAGAGTAGTATTCATAAAGTAATCCATTCTGATAGAGGACTACTGTAATCCAAATATTCTAAATATAAACAGCGAAGAAACGACGTAGCGTTGTTTGCATTCTATGCACTCTTTCGCAGCTTACACACTAGAATAAACTTCCGGCTTGGGGGCTTGAAGATGTTCAAGTACTCTTTCTCCATGTCTCTTTAGGGTTCTCCGGAAGCTAAGCTTATATGTTTGACTATTCTCACAATGAAACAACCTGTAATCAACCCCTGGAGTTCGACGATCTTCTCGCAACTCAGACAAAGCGACTAAAAATGAACATTCCAAGGTCTGTGAAACATACTTTAATACAGTCAAGCTCCAGAGAGAACTTTACTCGCGGCATCTGCAACTATCACAACAGCTTGGTTCTTGGTCGAGCAATTTTCGACTGATGCAATCCTCTCGCTTCCCAGCCATACAGAAGCGCTGTGAAGGCCATTGCCTTGTTTCTGGAATTCATATCGTGGAGTGTGTGTCCCTGAAATTCGATGCAGTTTGCTGGTTGGGTGTTCGAGGTGAATCTCTTTCCCCGCAAACCGCTCCAGATAATTTAACAGACTAATCCTTTCCAGAAAGCGCTCGCACGTATCTAGGCAACCTCCGCTATCGACATAAATCGCTCCGATCGTGCTCTCGATAAGATCCGAGTAGAACTTGGATGGTCCTAGCTGAGCGAGTTTTGCCCACGGATATGACACATGTTCCTCCAACTCGTCTTTGATCAGGCCGCCTAAGGATTGATATCGTGTGCTGCATAAAGCCTGAACCTTGATTAGATCAGGGGAGTCATGACGCATAAACATCCATAAGGAGACAATCTTCGGTTCGGCCATCATTTCGGGCGGGTCTGACCTCGACTTTGAGCCGTGGCAGCCTGTCTCGAGCATGGTGAGTTCCATACAGAGAAAGGCTAAAAAGTCTGCATTTACCAGAGCCGCGCGGATCTCCGACATTCGGCCTTCGTCAAGCTTTGGACACCACTTATGCACGTTTCTGGACACTAGAAATTCGAGAACCGCGTCTCCCAGAAACTCAAGTCGCTGATAGGATCCCGTTGTGCTGTCTCTTTGCCATGATGGATGAGTGAGTGCTTCCCAAATCAAAGCCCGGTTCTTGAACTTGAAGACCAGCAGTAGGTCAATCTTCTGATCCAAGTGCGTGGAGAACGAATAGTACTCGTATTGTGGGCTCTGAAGTGCACTTGAGATGTCCGCAATTTCCGGGAGAAAAATGGCAAGAAGCTCTTGCGAAAGCGGAATCCCACCACTTTCGTAGGCAGCTGCAGTCAACGCTTCAAGGACATCGGCGAAAGTCTTTTTGGGAAATCTTCTGTTCTGCTTTCGATCCGCGGCTGGCGAAAACATGAGATATTTCAACGTGATGAAATCCGCACAGATGAACCTTTCGAGATGAGCATGAACGGCTACCTGTGTCAGTTTCTGATTTGAGACTAGCAAGTCCTTGAATTTCGACAGGTAGCCTTCGTGCCACAGTGGATATTTATAGAACGCGTGTCTAGCAACCACAAGCTTGAGGATAGAGTCACCGAAAAATTCTAGCCGTTGATAATCAGTTGGCCATTGAGAAGCAGGTGTCGTTATAGCCTCTGTAAGTAAGCTGGAGTCAATCATAGGGAGATCTATGAGAACCTTCATCCGTAAGCTATGTGCCATTAGGTTTTGATGCAGAAGCTGCATAATTGGTGGAATTGCAAGGCTAGCCAAACTCAGCTCCCAAGGCATGAAATCAATGATGCAGTCTGTGGCAGCTACGCACGCCGTTTTGAGGCCGCCTGGCTCCGATGATGTTCTGGAAGATAATGAAGCTCGCTGCAACAGGTTTTTTCTTCTCCCAAATTTCTGGCATTCAATGGAGAGTTCTTTTGTATTTGGTTCCCGTACCCATCTCACAAAAATATGAGGAGCAAAGCGAAGGCTGGGGCTGCGGATGAATCCCGAGGGGGAGAGTATCGGGATTTTGGTTTGTTCTGTGCCTATGATAAAAGATCCTTGGTTGACGAATAGCCAGTCTTCTAGCTCCTGCATAGGAAGATCTGGGATGAAGAATGGGAAATAGTCGGGGTACTGGCTATGCAGAGGACGGACGCGTGACGATTGGAGAAGCAAAGTCGTTATACTCCTTATCATTGCCCTCAAGGACGGAGCAAGTGCCGTTTCGATGTTCAGAGGCTGCAAAATTGCAGTGAGGGTTGTTTTGGCGTCCCAGTAAAGATTCAGATTCGCAGTTCGGGGCAGCTTGACAGGTGTCAGAAGTGCTAATGATAATTCTGGCCGGCTTTCTCCGTTCTCGACAAAATCAATGCGGCATTTGTACATTGTTCTTTCCATCCAGTGCCCAGGAACTTCCTTCCAAAAGTCATGCAAGTTCGAAATAGTAGGCATAATAGGCATCTCGGAAGGAACTTCCCTCTCGTGAACCGCTTCCACTGCCGCGGCGGTGTCAGAGAACAGTGGCAAGATATGGTCGTTGATGAGATCCTGACTGTGCAAGGCGAGGACAGCTTGAAATGCGGCATCCTGACGGGCAGCCCGCTTCGTTTTCCACCAGTGATGACCTTTCACGATTCTCAAAGAAGGGTCCACGCCACTCGGCATATAAACCGTTGACCGAGTAAGCTCTGCCCTATCGTTCTCGTATGAGAATTCTGGACGATCTATGCCAGGTCTTCCACTCCGTAGAGTTGTGCAAAAATGATACAAATGTGATATAGCATTTTCGCTTGTCAGTAAGGCCCTGTGAAAAAAGGGTTTTCATTAGTCACATAACGATAATCAAGAAAGGGAAGTCGAACCCAGTGTGTGTTCTAAGCGAAAGAAGAGTCTCTTTCGAGTACTCATCGCCCACTTCTACCGCCTGCGCACATCGTTCGTAGTCCCGACATATTCCCTGCAGCTGCTTTTCAAGGTCGCCCCACAGCTTGGACCGCATAGATATGGATTCCACACCTATTGCCTCCATCAAAGCAAACTCCGATACGCGGTGTCGTGCTCGACCCCGGCGCTGAATGAAAGCTATCATGTTGTCTGCGCTATCAAATGAAATGACAAGACGGCAGGCGGGGATATCGATACCCTCCTCGAGGACGCTGGTTGCGATGATCAAGTTTTTCAAGCCGCTGCGGAAGTGTGAAACCACAGTCTCCGTTTTTTCGAAACTCCAAGCATCATTTTTGGCCCAAGACTCACAGTCAGACGTGCTGCTCACACAGGGTGCGCATTGATATAGATCTCGCGTCAATGGATGAGCATTAAGCAACGCTGATAGGACATACGCAGTAATCCTCTCTCGAACGAAAATAATCCCCGAGAAGTCTGGGCTGAATTTTTCCAGCAGAAACGATATGAGCGCTTCGACTTTATTCGAGATGTTGCCAGGTTCGACCAAATGGAGAACATGGCCTTCTATATCACTTCGCAGACAGGCAATCAAAGCTGTTGATTCAGGATCAGCTCCCCTGCCAGAGAGGCATTCTTCATGTCCGGCGATGTAGTGGGACACATATGGAATTTTGATATAAATGTAGTGTCGTAAAGCCCAGATCCCTAGCTGGGCCCAAATGGCATGAGCCTTTCTAGGAATCTTTAATAAGTCGGTAGGGGCGGTGCGGCCATTTTGTTCTTTCAGAGCTTCGATGAGTATCCTCAGCTTGTGCAAATATGACGGCAGATTTACCGAGTCATCTTGGATTTGAGTGTAGGCAATCTTAGTGACAATTCGTTGCGAATCATACGCGGTCAGCTCTTGCTGCTCGACCAATGGGGCCCGACAACTAGCGTCTAGATTCTGTTCAAGCTGCCTTATAAAATCGTTGGTGAGATGCCCTGAACCACAGTAGGACTCAGCGTACCGAATTTTTGCTACATCAACTGCCGCTGTCAAGCCGAGAATGCTGGGTACGGCCACATTTTCTGATTTGGCCTTATGATAGAAGTCACGCATTATACGGTTCCCGGGATGTGACTTCATGCAATGATGAGCTAACTCACGGTTAGATCTTTAGCTGATATGACATTTAGCTGCTCGTACCTTCATCGAAAACAATGAGAGCTAGTTGGTTCAGTTTTATGAACCCGTGAGTGAGCGCATCCGCAAGTACAGCATGAGTAGATATAACCACTTTCATGCCCTCGAGGGCCCTGTTCCAGATAGCTTGGTTGCTCCAACAGTCAACTCCATCATCCCCTGTCAGCGCTCGCATACTGACTGCAGGCATGTGTTTTGAAAGATAAGCCAACTGCTGGGTACACAAGACCCTTGTTGGGGCCAAAAACCACACCATCTCCTACAGTTAATTCCTTGTTCTATCTCTGTTTCAGAATTTTTCTTACCTGGTGGACCTGACAGCGTTCAAGTTCGGCCATAATTCGCATACTGGCTCTGACAAAATGGTCATGCCCCGATCGATCAGACAAATAAGGATAATGAACATACATGTAAGTTTTTCCACTCCCCGTGGGCATCTTATCATCTCAGCATTGAACTTGGACAGTATTGACGTGTTTTGACATAGATCTCACCACGGCTATTATATTTGTCTTCATACTCAAATCAAATATTTCAAATTGGTAGTTGCGTGGCTGAATGTTGGCCATTTTCACCGAAAATTGCATTAGAGCACAATTGAGACTGAAGACTGGCATGCTTAATTCTTCGCTTCTTTTTGTAATGGAAGAGAATAAAGATAACCCAGGGTTAGAACAACACGTTGGTGCCCAACTCATGCGGTATGCAAAGGCTATTAACCCAATCATAACGTGCGACGTGGACTGGGGATCCAAGGCAGCCCGTCAAATGTACGGGTCTCCCTATCTGCGCCTATTCGAACCATTTCAAACAAAACTTGTGGTATCTGGAGTTGGTTTTTCTTAATTACAAGATTCGTGCTTTGTTGGCGTCAGGAATCCCATTCAGTCCTGCAGTCCTTTTGACATATCCTAGTCGGATGATGGGGCCCATCCGCCCCCACGCCAGTGTCCCTAACATTGCGCCCCGCGAGGTATGCCGCGGAGCAGATAACGTGAATGAGATACTGAGCCCATGGTAAACTATATCCTGTAATCCGACTGGTTGGTAGTTCTTGGCGGCCTCCCACGTCAACGGCGCGTTAGTAGCCTGCATGTTCGTATTTTCGACATAGATCCTGACCTGCTCTTATCCCCGATGTGTGATATGATGCTAAGCGTTTATTGGCATTCAACTTCGGCATTCCTCACTGTCATATACCACTTACCCAACTTTTCCTACAACCACCAATCTGGTTCTCCTTACTACTTTGCTGTGGTGGCATGCGACGTCCAGGTCAGATTGGTAGCAGTACACCAAATATGACTCGCTAATGTTCGTCCTGCACAGCTTACAAAGTTCGAGGATCTGGTGATTCACATTCTTTATCATTGGGTGGATGCGTTGAAGTTGCAGTCCTTCTATAATTTATAGCACACATTGCAACCTGGCTTGACGTACTAAGCCAATTACGCAAATTCATCGGAACAGTAGAGTGACTAACAAATTTTTTACGACGTAGTCATGTAGCAACAATAAACTTGCTTTACTTTCCCATTTCGAACAAAAATATGTAGGTGGGAACGAGAAAGCTCCAAGGCCCCACCTAGGAGGTTTCACTGACATAGCTCAGTGTTATATTTCAGGGCGAAAAACCTATATTTGTAGGCTAGTATGCCACTTTCGGCTACGCCCCGGTGATAGAAGACGGGAGGTCCAAATGCCACGCAGGCAAGTGAGCTGCACCAGAATCATTTGATCTTCTACCCCCACAAGCTCAGAGATACAGCGAGAATATTTACAAATATCAACAATTTTTAGAAGGTTCAATTCCGCGATGAGAAATAATCAACACTGCGAGATGCGAACTATACGAGGATCAGCAGTCGGCATTGAACCGGACAGCGCTGATATTGATAATGCTCATGATGGGCCATAGAGCGTACCGACTGCTCATAAAATGATACATCCCAATATGCGTAGATAGTGAAGAGGGGAATGCTCACGGCAGTCTGATCTCACCAGACAGGTCGAGTCATAGAGGAACCAAACCAAACCCACAAGCACGCAAGTCCCGGAATCCTCCAAGGTAATCGTGTAATCCGATGTCAGGAACCAAAGGCAGGAATCAAAAAGAGTGTGACATTACAAGTGTAAGGAATCCGACTGTAAAGACTGTCCTGAATCCTCCGTCCAATCTGTTGATCAAGTATGATGATAATGGATCCCGCAACCTAGGTCCTAGATAACCTTTCTCGACGGTAAGGCTCTCAGACATCTCCCACTACCGGACATCCGCCTTTAAGTACATGCAACCGAATCCCCCACTACAATAGGTACCTTAAGAGGCCCTTTCGAATTTGAGTCAAATGCTGAAACAGCATGTACTACCTAAGTGGCACTTGTGGAGTGGAGGACTTGACTCGGGACCACAACCCACCAGGCCGATAGATATGTCCTTCGATTTCGTGTAACCATCAGCACGGATTATTTGAAGGAAAATGGCGCAACAAGACCCGAACCGCTCAACAATAGCGAGGAATGATGTTATCAACATGAGTTTTCCGGGGATACTGCTACTAAATGTAAACCTCCTGCCTGTCGAACCTTGCGGAATTCTTATCCACTTTCACGGCTAACTCTTATTAGCGTTTGTAGCTCAGTTGGCTAATAGCAATATGCGATTTAGGCAATGTTTTTGGTCAAGTTCATTTAAGTCAGCAAGTGACAAGAGCAAAGCCGACCTCTGAACCCACTCTTCGCCCATTGAGAGCTTAAGACTCCAGTCGGAGATCGTGCTCCTCAATCATGGTATGCCCTTGGAATGTACGTGTCTTGGCCAGGAAGTTGACCTCCTGCGAAATCCTCTGCTCGAATGTCTATGGTGGATGAGATTGAATGGATTCAATTTCTGGACCTATTGAAACTTTGGTTCGAGAATCGAGGTAGTGATACCAAGCATCCCATGATACAATGAGCGTAGAGGGACGAAATGAAAGCCCGTGGGCTGCATGAATTGTCTTGCTGCAAGAGAAATGCACCCTTAACTATTGGAGATCTTCTGAAAGCTCCCTACATAGAACAGTTGATGGATAGGGATATCCTAAGCACACTGACCCTGATTAACTAACGTAATTCCCGGCTACCCTAGCTGCCACAGAGTGGCCGTTCAACGAAGTTCCATCTGCGATACCACGCTATATATACCGGACTCTGGGCAGTATCCGCAACTACGGATATTAGTGATCTTTTATGGTCTTGTTGATTAGTGTTCAGCCCAGAAATACTTCCCGTGACACTAGCCACCCGGTTACCCTGGCCACCCCAAAACACCATACTGAATGCGCTTTTTCGCAACTTCATATTTTAACATTCAACACTGATTATCAAATTCTTAAGACATCTTGATGCTTAATACGTCGTATTGGATATTTAGATCAGGTCGTATAATATTCCAAGCCGTAACAATATAGGCATCAATATCTACGTCGCTCGATCGCGGCGCACTTTTGGTGAAAGCGGTATTTAATCATTTCTTGGAGTAATCAAGTACGCCGTAGTACTTCGAGTACTACGAAATAATATCATGTCAAAGTTGATATTCAGGTTCCATCTCTTCGACAGGCTTCGTCGTTATCAAGGTTTTCTTTGAGTTCTTTTTCACCATGGTTATCTCCGAGAATTTGGCAGGGACGCGTTGGAGAAGAGAAAGATTTTGCGGGGATCTCTTTTCGTTCTTCAAATATAGAGAATAGGGTACCCTGGTCGAAAGATGAGGGGTAACGCAAGGATGAGCTGTTCAGCAGGGCGTTGAGACACGTCATGCGTGAATTGTGGATCTGGCGTATTTTTGCGTTCTGAGCCTTCTAAGCCGTTTATCTGTGCCTTTGTAAAGCCTCAACACTGCGTCACGGAACTTTTTTGTCAATAACTGATTTTTTAGTCTATTGAGGCTGCATCGTGTCTCGTAGGCCAATGTTTACGCTACCGACCGTATAGTGCATCCGTGGTGTATGGACCCACTAGTCTCGAACCACTTGGCATAGAACACGGAACTATTTGACGTGGCAATGATCACGATGAATGCTGTACGTGTAGATATTACGGACCATGCCACACTATGGGTCGCAGTCCACAAAATGGCCACCAAGAGCCCAACCGCCGTTCCGCAGCCATGACCGCCCCAAGGTCACGTGTAAGAAACAACAACCGAAACCATGGCGTCTCCGCTGCCAGTGAACGTACCCCCGCGGGGCTAAGCCATCGTAAGACGGGACAGGCCGTGCAGTGGACGCTGTCCGATGATAAAGAGCGTTAGCGTTGCGTGCGACGAATTAGCTTACGAACGACCCACGACTCCTAGGCAACGACTAGAAACTGTGGTCGCCGCACGACAAGGACCACCCCCGGGAACAGGAGAGACTCACGGCATCACGTGACACCCCCCGAAAACGTTAGAATCACGGAAGGAGGACGGACTCATCAGGCGATAAGCCCTTAATAGCGGGATCACGGAAGAAAAACTTATCGGTCGATAAGCTTTTTCGCATCAATTGATGAGTTAGCGCTCATCAAGCCATAGGAAGGACTAGAACATACGGACACTGATTTAGCACCATGTATTTAGATCTTCGCGATTAATTACACATGATTGCTTGGTTCACTTTAAAGACAACCCAACTTACAAGTAGGGAGTTCACTCAGGAGGAACACTTAATGATTACCCACTCGGCACGCACCTCTGGCACGTCCTGCAAGACCCTTATCGAGATCAAACCCGCAGTAAGGCTTTACGAAGCGACGGTACGATCGAGAGACCAGTCTTGGGATTCGCATTTGAAATGAGACAAGTATAACCAGTGAACTTTCTAACTCACAGTAACCAGTTCAAGGAGAAGATGATTGACCCACATAAATTGCGGTTGTATCTGCCCCCTCTTTCTGAGACCACACTTCAGACCTATTATAGAGCTGTAAACATACTCACTCCGGTTGTCCTGTCTTCTAGGCCGTCGGGACTCACAAATAAGTAAAGTTCAAGGTAGAGTGAAATACCTAAAATCTCCTACCTAAGATGAAATCTCCACATTCTCTGTCCTTGGCATACTTCTTAACGTAATATTATCATCATCACGGAATGCTTTTTAGTATGAAATTCTCATATGAAAACTGCGTCGTCTGGACTATATGAATATGGTACGTTCATTCAAATCAAGAGATAAACAGAGCCATTAGATCCTCAGCTGCTATACCTCTAATCCCGACGCAGCTATGCGATGACACACTATTCATAGCAAAGTGATCGTGGTTATTCAGTTGAGCTGAACTGAGAGAATATAGTCTATTCATCTAGAGATGCTCAAGTAGTGGTGGTTTCTCGAAGTGAAAAATGTGACCGCGTTTAAGTTGGATCCATTTTGATTGAGAAGACATCAAGTTCCTTAGACCAGAGGCCACTTACGTTCACCCAGAGTGAGCAGAAACCTTAGACCGCTTCTCTTTCTTCTTCATCTTCTTTTTTGTCGTGGGTTCATGGTCGCTTAAGATCGCACTTTCTTCGGCGGGTACAGGAACTACGTCCACTGGCTCAAGACTTAGACTCACAGCCTCAACTTCAGGGAATGAATTTTTATCAACCGTTTCGTCAGGTATCTCAGGTGAGTTTGCCGCATCAGTTGGTGGATCGGAAATATCAGATCTCTCTGTACCCAGCATCGCTACTTCTTGCAACGGTTGAATTCTGATTTGTGTCGATAGATCCCGAGCATTCGCGAGGCTGTCACCTAAGAAATTATTAAGGTCTCGTGTAAGAATATCAATGGTTAGGCTGAGGGATCATACCGTCTGTTCTCAATTTGACAAACTCCTTGCAGGTCTCAAGACCCTTCTGCAAGATCTCAAGCTCCTTGCGAAGTTGCGCACGAGTGTTTTGATTCTCTTCTGACTCGCCAGCAATTCTTCGGACCAGATCTGTGGACATGTCGAACACTGTCACTGGAGACAAAATGCGTGAAAGAGAAGCCGTAAGCTTGCCCTCTACAACTTCGTTGGCAATGTCGTCCACGAATCGCTTCAATGCTACCTGTCTCAAGTCAATTTCATGTATGCGGTGGAGCGTGGGCATGGATTACCTTGTAGTAGGCAAGCATGCAATCTAGTGCCTCGATCGATGCGTGATGGGCCATGTCAGGCTCTGATTGTTGTGTGAGCAGATTGAGAAGGTGCAATAGGTTAAATGATCTATCTGCATAGATGGGCTGCTCTATAGAGCTTACGCCAAAAAACTGCTGGAGAGTTGCGGCTATCTTAGTTCTCTGCCGTGCCGTTCGACTTTCCTGTAAGTTTTCAGTGAAGTGGTGATTGTAGGTGATCGGATGGCCAATTCGGTGAGGTTGAAGAAGCTCCTTGACCTTCATGCTCATCTCCTCTTTGATAGAGTTGCAGGCTGGATCAATGATCTCCCTAATCAGCGCCGCTGAGGTGGCCTCGTCCGAGGTATGTTTGACCACAAGAATCAGAAACTCTCGAGCAGCGGCCCAAAGGCTATCAGTATGGCGGTAGGTGAGTTTCTCCCACGGAGAACATTGTTCTAAAAACAGATCACGAACGATCATGGGGTTGAAAGTCCCAGGAAGCTCGCGCCCCCTGGTTCTCTTGAGGAGATCGCGGATATGCTCGATATATTTCTCACGGGTAATGTCAACTTGATGCTTAGCCGGAGGCTGTTGCCTTTCAGCGTCAACTATACGACGTTGATGCCCACTTTCGTCAATAACATTGGCAAACTTCTCGTTTGAGTTTTGCATGATGGCTCGGATTCTCTTCTGACACCCATCGGGCGAGTGAGCGTCACCGAAGAAATTGTCGTTGTACGTGCCGTCGACAGCTGCTTTGACCAGTTCCTGAACACACTGCGCTATGTTCATCAGATAGGACTTCTGTTCGTTAATGCTTACTCGAGGTTCGCCGAGCTGTTGCAGGCGTGTTTTGCATTGGCCGGCTTTATCTTCAATTTCTCCAATGAGGCTTGGCAGCTCCGTAGCAATCTGTGAAAGGAGCACCGTACTCAGCCGGCCTCGCAAAGTGGTAACGCCGACAATCGATCTCGGTAAGTCTTTCCAAATGCCCCGAGAGAAGAATTTGAATTCCTCAACATCGCGCTGCTCTCGGGTCGATTGCCCGTGGTCCATATCCATGTTCCTCAACACATGCCACCCAAGCCGAAACTCCACATCTAAATTCTTCGCCAGTGAGACAAACATTGCTTCGCTTTCCGAACCAGCGGCCAGTGTATCAGGTTTTGTGATGATGCCAAGTGTCCGGTTTCCGAGTTTATCCGCGCTTCGAGCCAATTTGAGGACGATTTGATTCGCAAAGTCATTCTTCGCAGATACGACAGCAAGTATAATGCTGCGTGGCTCCTGCATGTAGGACTGAACTACCTCCTGAACAAGCTGGATATCCGTTGCCGACTGTTGTTTGGTTTCTGAGTGGATCAACCCCGGGAGGTCAACAATGGTCAGATGAGGCCGATCCGGTCCGGACACCTCGACTCGCAACAAGTCATTGGAGAATGCTTTGCCGCGAGTGTTTATTCCCATGGCTCCCTTTGCCTTCTCTATCAACATCGGCAGAACTTCAAAGCTGTCAAGCTGTTCGCAAAATTCACCCAGGGCTCGTTGCTCGACCTCACTGCGGGTTTGATGGGGGACAATAGATACACGAACCCCTACTCTTGGGTGCTTTCGAAGAACGAGCTCGGTCGGAAATCGGGTGCATAAGTTGCTCTTCACGGGAAAAGTAACACCTGAAATAGCCTCTAGAACTGAGCTCTTTCCGGAAGACTGGTCACCACAGACAATGATCTGGGGCAGTGATACATAGTGATCGATGCCTTGAGAACGAAGAGTGTCGATGGAGTTAAGGAGGTCTAGCTGTTCTTCGGAACACAGGTCCTTCAAGGCATGGGTGTTAAATCTTGTCAAGACCATATTGGAGGGTAGATGATTTCAAACGTTAGAGATCGAGGTTTGGGACGCTTTGGCATAATATCAGCGTTCGGACAACCTATTTATTTTCCACTACCAGTGAGGTCTTTCTCACCCTCTCAGCGGCAGATGGCCCTAACATGCTCTAGAATGAGCCTGTACTACGTGATTATCAGCCCAGCCAATCATGACACGTGTGCCCTGGCTACGGACGGCATCGAGCGTATCCATGAATATACAAAGTCAGACATTCACAGACAGGTATTCCTCAGGAATTTTGTGCGATAGCCCTTGCTTATGATATTGCTTTCACACAGGGCTTACCACGACCTATCTTCTCCACCACCCCGCTCTAATTCTATCAGACGTTTATCAAAGATTCGACCTCTTTCCGACAGAACTTATCGGCTCTCTTTATTCAATATTTCAAGTGTCCAATCTTGATTAACTTCCCAGATTGCATGATTCCTATACATTTAGTTACAAATTCTCCATAGTAGAAAATAAGCATTCATGTAGAAAGGCTTATGAGTTTTGTGGGACGTGTCTCAAATTGAGACCATGGGATTATTCACAAGGAGGCCGGACTTTTCAAACGTGATTGAAGCTATGCCCTTTTGGGGGGTTGCGAATTACCCGCATGAAACCACCATTTTTGGAATAGCGCATTCTTGATCCTCGAATCACGTGGGCGTTTCTTTTCTCCTTCCCCAGCTACTTTTTACTGTACTCTAATCGCTCAACTAGATAGCTTAGAGAAGGAAAATCCGGGATGCAAGGGCGGGTGTCCCGAAGACCAATGAAAGTCCCAGTCACTTGATTGAAATATCTTTAACTTAAGGTAAAATTGTGTTATCTGTGTTTCTGGATTAATACTGCAAACGAGTGACGGACTTGTGATATATTCTGAAGGTGACCGTGAATATAGCCAGAGAATAATTCAGGGCGATGACACAGTAACTAGTCACTGATGAATACTATCAAGATAATCAGGCAACTTCTCTGTCTCTTGAAACGTTGTGACAGATCAACCTTGAACTTAACACTTTTCTAGCACATTATACTTCGTATGAAGCTTCCAAAAACGGAGTAAATATGCCGTGCCGAGCGAGTGCCACGGCCGATTTACTAAGCCGTCTAGACCTAGTACGGTAATTTTCACCATCTTTGCGGACATTTCCCTGGCCGTGATCGAATCTTCCTTTTGTCACATAGTAAAGCCCGACCCGCCCAACAATGTGGCTTAAAATTGCCGTTTTACTAAGGCGGAGTTTATTGCTAATCACATATCAAGTCTAATTCGGAGGTGATGCAGGTCTAGGCATGCCTTATTTGAGCGAATCCGCGACTTGTTCCACGGAACAATCCTGGACCTGCGACATATATTTCCCTTGGAAGCGTATCTTCCCTATTATGTGTGCAACGAGGTAGTATTCTAAGTGGAGACTTGAATGAGTAAAATGACCAGTCGGACAAACAGATACACAATTTATCCAACATGCATAAAAGGGTATCGAGAGGCTTCAGTAGTAGTATCAGGTATCTCTTGCTTTAGATTGGATCTGCATCCATATATAGAAAGGAGGTAGGCCCATTCAAAACTATGAACTAGGTCAATACCTGCTTGACAACGAGTCTATGCGATATTGATGGTACCTCTAGATTCCCGATAGATTCTCCATGTCATGTTTTATTCGTTTAGCTAACAGAAAAACATGTATGATTGCTTACATCCAAGTACCTCAACGAGTAAGAAACAAAACCAACATCACATCTTTTTCAATCCAGCTCTAGCTAAGCAGTATGAATCAAGGGAAAGAATCGCAGTGAATGCTATGATCGCGTGTGTGTATTAGATGACAAGTCATAATTGGCAATCGAAAGCTTTGATGTATTATCGTATGGCGAAGAAGAGGTTTGATGTAGAAGTCAATCAAATGAATTCCGAGTTATCTTGTCCGTCTGTATGCTGAATCGCCATAGTGGGGATATTCCTCTCAGTCTGAGGCGATCCGTCGGACTAACAGTTTAAGAAAGTGAATCATGCATTTCCAAAGCTGTGTATAGACAGATACGAACGTGTATTGACAGATAAATACGTACTGTAAAAAGGTAAAGCTTCTTGAAGGGGTAACGCCGGGAATTAGGTCATTTCACATTTCGGCTTTTGCATAGTATGGCGAAATCGGCACTTTGAGGAGCATCTCCTGCCGATAGGTCTCTGATCAGTCCAGGAAGGCCTTCTGGTACAAACCGGCTTCCAGACACACCGCTATTGTGACTCATTGGGCCTGAAATTCTATCGTTCGTGGTGTATATAAGAGGTAGGTACCAGGATCATGCTTAGGAGAATTTTGGTAAGGACACAGAGTAACCCTAAAATGTCATCGTGCTTGCATAGAGAAGACCGTGCTAGTATGTCTCTGGGTGACTTCATTTTTTCATCTCAACACATTCCAAGAAAAGATCTAACAACATGATTTTCAAGACTTCGCGTACCATTTGAGTTTGTTGAAACTTGATGAGTCCGATGGCCAGTCTGACGAAGCACTTCTTGCCCCCGTACTGACTGGTACGGTTCTCAACCAATCATCGCTCGGCCCTACGCAATATGGACTACTAGGGGGCGTGAAGAGAATTGATACGCCTACATACTCTACCATGGACGATGAAGTGACGAAAAATGATCCCCGGTTATTTTTCAACGTTTCATCACCGTCGAGTGTGTTCATTTGCGGCTCCCAAGGAACCGGAAAGAGTCACACGCTGTCTTGTTTACTAGAAGGGTGCTTGATCCCATCCAAAGCCGGCAGACTGTCAAGCCCCTTGACAGCTGTCGTATTTCATTATGATACATTTATCTGTGACGGTGGTGGCTCGCCCTGTGAAGCTGCCTTTCTGTCATCTCATCCCGATCTGAAGGTCAGAGTGCTTTGTGCTCCGACTAACCTTCGTACTATCAAGGTAAGGTGGGCAAGCATTACTGAAGCTCACATTGCTTACAATACTACAGGGTACCTACTCAAGATTCAACATCGAGGTACAACCTTTGCGAATTGATCAGTCCCATCTGAATACCAAACGAATGCTGGATCTCATGTCAGTTGCCCGGGATAGCGGCGCTGGCCCATTATACTTGCAGACTGTTCAACGCATACTACGAGAGATGCGTCTACTCCAACAAAGCACAGGACTTCCGTTCGACTATCAAGAATTCAAGACTAGGGTACTTGGTTCCGGGCTGTTGACTGGTCAACTGGAGCCCTTGAAGCAAAGGTTGGATATTCTTGAGAGCTTTATGCCACCCCATCAGGCAAGCGCGGGTTACAAAATCAAGAAAACGAAGGCCAAATCCCGAGATGGAGGTTCAAACTGGGCACCCAAGGTACTGTAATCCAAGTTCACCTCTGGGACACTTGAGCTTATCTGTGATTCAGGCCTCGCAGTTGACAATCGTTGATCTCTCCTGTCCTTGTGTTTCCCCTGATACCGCCTGCAGCCTCTTTAACATTTGTTTTGAAATCTTTATGGAACAAGATACCAAAATTGGTAGAATCGTCGCCCTCGATGAGGCCCATAAGGTGCGAATGATAAATTCATTGTGTTTTCATTCCACTTACTCGCTATGTAGTATATGAAAGATTCTGTCGAAGCCCAGAATTTCACAGACACCCTTCTCTCTACTGTTCGACTACAACGTCACCTCGGTGCTCGCATCTTTGTTTCAACTCAGGAGCCAACCATCTCCAGCGAACTTCTCGATCTATGCTCTGTCGCTATTGTCCATCGGTTCTCATCGCCTGCATGGGTTCGTGCATTACAATCGCACGTGGCTGCTGCAGCTTTAAATTTGCACGTAACGAAAGATAGTCAGGCAAAGAATGAGCAGGCACCCCTCGATATTCCGGCAAAGCTCTCTATCTTTCACCAGATCGTCAACCTTAAAGTAGGCGAGGCGCTGCTTTTTTCGCCGGGTGCCATGCTAAGCGTTGTGTCTGAAGAGCCTGAGCTACAAGACATGGTTAGATTAGGCTCCGGATATATGACTATCAAGGTGCGAGGCAGACTCACAGAAGACGGCGGAAAAAGTGTTTTATCCACCTGAAACTATCTATTAATATGTGTTTGATAAGGAGGCTTGCTGTTACAGTAATGTTTCTGGGCGGAACATTAAACAACCAGACCATTAAAGATCACCCATATCCGCAGTTGCGGATATTGCCCAGGGTCCGGTATATATAGTATGGTAACGCAACTTGATATTTCCGTTGATCGGCCACGCCGTAACACTTACCTTCGAGGACATTTTTCTTCTGTCGACCTGCAAAATTTTCCTGACTAAATTTTTTTTTGGGCTGCAAAATTCGATTAAAAAGCAACACTGCATCGTTCGCTCTCACATGGAGCTGGAATCACACCGCAGTCCAGGTATCGCTCACTGCTAAGTATAACTCCTACATAAGGACATATCATTAATATCAACTTATCAGTTTCTTCCCTAGGCGTTGATTTTTATGCGACGGATGATAATAGACGAATGACGCTCTCGTACGTCGCACGGAATGATGATCCGGTCCTCGGAGACCATTTATTCGAGTCGAGACTGGCCGAGCCAAACTTACTTGGGTTTCATGGCTGTACGGCTGTTTAAAATGCCTCCCAGCATCTGGATAACGGGGTAGTACCTCGATCAATTATGACTACGCGGATGAACCCTAGCTCTCGAAGCCTTGCAATCGCGCACCCTTCATGTACGCTCTGGAGTACATCTATTCGAGGACCTTAAAGACCTTCATATCTTCATATCCACGCAGTACGTTACTCATATCATGATGGTTCTACGGATTTATGTGGCATATAGCATTATTTTTAACATATATTACAGTACGGTCAGTGCTCGAGCTTAGCGCTCTGATCTTTCGTCAGCCCCACACTGCAATATTCTTTTTATATCATCATGGATAGTATCAGGACACTGTTGTTACGTAGTGCCAACCAATTACTTTGAGTTAAAACGTCCACATATTTTACTTCCTCATTCCTTCTGCGAGCCTCAAGAGTCTCTCTCAATCGTACCGTCGCTTCGCAGAGTCTTACTGCGGGTTTGACTCTGTTCAAATTTTTGCAGGACGTGCTAGAGGTGCTCACCAAGAGTTAATCACGAAGTTGTATCACCAAGCAAATCGCCTAGCTCTAGGTTAGATTGTCTGAAAGTTGGGCCGTTAAGTGTAAACTGCTCATAGAATTAACCCCTCAACAACATGAAATTCCTCCGATCTATACACACATGCTACTACAAAAGTTGTTACTCCTATAACATCGTCACCGCTCATGGGTCATGAATTAAACGTACGAGCAACAAGCAAGGGAGATTAGAATCAAATGTGCACGTCCAAGAAGTCTAGAGATATTGAGAAAGTGTGGGCAGTGATTTCATATGCGCTTTTCAATAGATTGAGAGAACCAAGTCATCCTCAGAGTACACTGCTCGGGCTATGATCAGTTCATATGCCTAGTGAAGAGGGGAATGCTCAAGGCAGTCTGATCTCACCAGACAGGTCGAGTCATAGAGGAACCAAACCAAAACCATAAGCAAGCAAGTCCCGGAATCCTCCAATGTAATCGTGCAGTCCGATATCAAGAACCAAGGGCAGGAATCAAAAAGAGTGTGACATTGCAAGTGTAAGGAATCTGACTGTAAAGACCGCCCTGAATCCTCTCTTCAAACTGTTGATCAAGAACTTCGATGATGATCCTAAGAATCCCGTAGCCTAGGTCTTAGATAACCTCCCTGGGCGATAAGGCTATTAGGCATCTCTCACTACTAAACATCCACCCTTAAGTACATGCAACCGAATCCCCTACTACACTAGGTATGATCCGGTCACATCACGTTACATGCTCTCATCGTAGCCGAGAATACACGAGTCACGTGGCACAATCATCGTGCCTGGTAACGTTGACCTATCTCAAGCCCTGCCGACTGACCAAGTTGACTGATGAAATACGTCGCTTTTCACCGCAGTAGCCTTTGATACATGAGAGGTCTGTAACATACGCGTGAGAAGTAAGCCAAATTTGATAGAAGGATACTCGATCACGATTACGCTTGATCAATTCGCACACGACCAACTTCATCAGACTTGACGACTAGTAGCTTCATTCCGCTAGGTTGCAGAAGCATTAAAGTTCATTGCTACAGATACCTCGTGAATGGTCTATTAATAATCTTGCTAGCTGGTTAGCCTCCGGCTACTGACGGTAACTCGTAATTTGAGTGCACCAAAGCTTTTCTACACCGAAGTCCACTCCTCCAGATCATGCGAACGAAATTTCTACTCACTGGTGATTCTCGCATGACATACAAGAAACAGGAAGATACAAAACCAAGATCTCTATATACCCCGAACATCTTTTTGAGTACTCTCGTTTCTTTTACAGAGACTGTAGATACAAAGAAGTGGCTAAGTGTCTTTAAAATTCTACGTTAACATTATCACAGTGCAGACTATACATTGTGTTGTTATGCAGATCTTGACCAAATCCTTCCCGTCCGGTGCAAGAAAGAAACCCAAGGGCTCTTTCTAGAGATATAGGGTAAGCTCGGTAGGCGGATGTGTGAGAACCAACTAGGTCCCGACCAGACTATAGTATATCCGACGAGATATTCTCTTAAAATTGCACCCTATGATTTATTGAGGTATCAACAATCATTTCAGCCAAGTTCAAAAATTGCACCCACGTTTCAGCCGCTCGTGAATTATTTCCGTAGCATTAGTTCGAAATCATGGAATGATTTGAACCGCCCGAGGCCGTATGATGTTGTCCACCGATTAGAGGTGCCTTTTCAGAATCAGTGTTAAAATATCATAGCTATCCGTCTACACTATATACCCAAAGGGAGCGATTAAAATTTTATCCAAATTGATTCTGCTTGAACTGAGCAAGTCCCCGGAGTTTAGATATTTTGCGCTGCGAACCTTCGGGATTGCTGCATATGCGCCCTTCCCTTTTGTGTCATGTAATACAGGTCGATATTGTCGACTTACATACAAACATATCAAATATCGACCACGATCGGTATTTTATCAGCTTCCATCAGTCTGGTCGTCTCTGCTTCTCGTGCCTTCACGGCTTCTTTTGTTAATCTGACAACCTCACGTCCAATCTTTTGTTCTGTGGTAAACAGTGTATGATGTATTTTTAAATTGACAGTAAGTGGCGACAGAATCAATCCTTTATCCATAGTTCCAAAGTCGGCGTTGGCAGAGCCAGAGTTTGAATGCTCTTTTGGACTGTTTTCGAGTGTTGCTTCCTCCGGCAGTGAAGCTTGATCGCCACTGACTCGGCAAATTGGTCTTGGATAGCTGGCACTGTACGTCTGACACAAGCTGCTCTTGACCACATTCCTGTTAAAGCTGCGAGTACAAGGGTTTTCTTAGCCCGCCGGTCGCTCAATCATCCAAGCATAAATCTCAAGGCCAGAGGGAAAGAGCCATTTCCTCTGAGACAAGATTTCCGCGGACCTTCACAACATTCCATCCTAGGCGTTCCAAGATCTCTTCGATCAGCCTGTCTGGGGGGCCACTGCAGTATCGAGCAATGATGGTGTTTAGAGAAGCAATCTTTCGAAACTCGGAGTCGATTTTCTTCAAAATTTGATGAACACGACGTGAACTGTGTTGATCGTCTTTGATCAGGTACCGACAGCTCTCGCCATAAATAGAAAATTCCAGTGTTCTTAGCCCGGTGCACTCATTGCGAAGAAGCTCCAAATTCCGTAATACGTCTTGTCTGAGACGGATTTCTCCCCCTGGTCATCTGCTAGTTCCGTGGTGGGAAAAGAGATACGCAATGTGGACAGAAAACCTGCATTGACAGATCCAATGCGTCTTATGAACAATCCCAGAACGTTGCTCCGGTGGTTCCTCGTTTCCACTTCCTCGAGAATGAAGCGATTCGCACCGTACAAGATTGACCTAGCATCATGGGATAATTGCTGACAGGTATACAATAGTGCCAGCCATGCACCAGGCTTACGGGGCATGAAACATTCCAGTGGACCTCCCGAATCCTGGAAAAAGTAGGGGGAGTCCGGCACAGCGAGCACCAGTCTGATGATCCGGTGGCGAATCTCAACTGGCAAGACGAGAAGACCAGCAGCAGTCGATTTGGGTGATAATGAAGGAAGTTTTTCTAATTCCAAACCGGACATGGTGGGTAGATGATTCCGGTTGGAAAAGTTGAGAGCTAGTGTCGTGTCCACAGTTCTCGAGGAGCGTTTTCTAGAGGGTGAAGAAATGATTATAGCCTAGTCAACGTTGTTCATTAGTGTGAAATGAGATGAAGAATGAAGTATACGAAGGTGTGCTAAATGATCACAGTACCTGTCCTGAATTCAAACAGCACTAAGGGGAAGGCAGTTGGATTACGTAGAACACTAGGAGGATGAGGTCAAGGACACGTGATTACGCTCTAGAGTTTCAGAGGATGACGAACGACTTTCCCCGCAACACACGATAGGCCTCGCATGGGCAAAAGTCACGTGCAGTTATGCTCAGCTTCCAGGCGGCCCGGTGAATCGAACACTAACTGTCCCATCACCCGAGCAGTTGATAAAGGGTGCAAAAGAAATTTTACTGATTAAAAAGGAATGAAAGATCAAAATTATCAAGCAAAAACATTCGATCTATTTCACAAATTAAGGATCTCATCACTTATCCGTCTCGTCTCACACTTGCCAAAATCAAATTATTGGTGTATCCTCGACTAGTATGCCCCAGCTGGTTCAGAACCACCGAGGTCACCAACTAGCCACTATCGCCCTCCATAAACAGATCACTGTCATCCCCAAGGTCTACGGAGTCGTTCTGCTTCTCACGCCATTCCACTAGCGCTAAAATGTGACATGACATGGGGCGGAATTTCTCCATTTAGGGGACTGGGGGTTGAACCACCCGGTACTGTGCATGTGAACAAAGAAATCCCTGTTCTCGTCGCCTGCTCAAGTTCTTTGCATATGCTCATTTGCCTCCTCGAGAGACCCCACATGGTGAAAACCAAATTCAAAGTGAACAAGACGGAGGAAAGTATTTGTTGCCGCGATAAGGAAAATACTGCCCGTATACTCCCTATCAACACCCGATAAACACCAACAACTTGGCAGCAATTGCAAAAAGTTGTATTACTCTTGCCCTAGGGGATCCGGGTTTGCTCTCCGTGGTATAGCCGCTTCTCCAAGATACTGAGCTAGTGTTTTATTTGGGAACGACTAGTTTGCAGTCTCCTGTCCGGTCATCAACATGGATGTATTTCACGCACGCCTGGCCTCGAGAATGGCTAAGTACGGATGTCCCATCATCCATCCGTGGGCCTGCCAGTCTATTCTGCGAATGCCACTATCATCTTCCGGAATGACTTCGTGCATTTCGGTGAAACGGGTGGTGGCTTTTCTGCGCTCGACGCGTGGCCGCACCTCTTTGTGCCCTTCGTGGTTCTGGAGGAGACAGAGGTTAGAGCAAATTGTAGGAAATATAAGACGAAGTACACAGTCACCTCTTCAAATTTACTCCGCCGAGCATCATACTTATTCTTATCTATCATGGCGTTATTAAGATCGACTTCGAATTCAGAGAAAGATGGAGCGGTTGGAATGAAAGACCCTACGTGGGGTCAACATAACCTTCTTTGTACGTAGGTCGTCTCTCGCGCTCGGGATACATAACATCACCCTGCAGGTAAAACGCTGACCAGTCAGAGCTCTCATTACCCGGCCCCGACCATGATGACAGAACGTGATTTGCTGAAAAGCAGAGAGGAGACTGTTTCCAGAGACTCACGATAAGCATTCCACATCACAGATTCTATATACTCAAGTATGCGGGTATACTGCGGTCCAACTTATGGTTACTTAATTTGTTTGATGAAGGGTCATTGCTATTCAATATCATACAGTACTTTGGATGCCACCAATATGAGATATTTCACAATAGGTCACGATACCACCAGAAGCTGGAGTAGACCATAGAACAGCTTGTACTGTAACTTAGCTTGACTTGACAAGAGTATAATGAGTACGCAAAGTAGATAAAGAACCTGCTGAAAATCCAATAAATAATTCCATGGTCACAAAGAAGCTTCTTTGCATTACAGGTATGCTATAATGAGTTTCTGGTCAATACTAGGCGCATTTCAGGACTGGCAATAACTGTATTATATATTATTCAGGTAGGGTCTTGGGAAAGATATACAGTCCGTCGGCTAATAAGCTCTTTAGAGAGAGGGCATATTCCTCGGAGACACAATATCGTAGGTAGTGCCCGGGGAATTTCCATGGTAGCATATGAGGTGCTAGCAAGACTGGGTGGAACCTTCTTCCACACGGAGCCCCCTTCCACACGCAGCCCCCGAAGACTCCGTATAGAAGAAGACCCCGTATGGAAGAAGACTCCGTATGGAGGAGGGCTCCAGTGGACTGCCATTTTTTGCCAGTATGGAACAGGAGACACGGGTGGATGTACAATATGTATGGGATTTTGATTGTGAACGGGTAAAAGTCTTGATTGGCCTATTTCTACTCCTAGATCCACATTGGAGTGCCATAACTAACTTATCTCGCTTTCAATGATCTGCGCTAATATACAGTGGCGCCGCAAAAGTCTGTGACCCGCTACCTGACCGCCCCTTTCTGCCACACATTCTGCCGCTCGAAAACCTACAATATACGCTGCGTATATAATGAAATTGTATCAGACTAATGCATGGTCAAGCAGCCCTTGTGCGAGGCATATGAGTCTGGTTGACGATAAAAATATCGTATACAACGCTATATGGGACTCCGCTGTACGCATGCAAGTGGTTTAATAGGCTATAATAGGAAGGCGGTGCTACTAGCGTTCGACGTGCTGTAGTCCTTGTCTTTCACTTTTCAATGCTCCGTAAAGGCCTCCAATAAACTATATATCTAGTTCTCGGCGGCATACCGCGGCTGTGTCCGACCGGCCTAATCCGTAAGCATAATGAAGCTATTTGTAGCGAGAAGCTGCTTGACGATGGCATCGTACCCGTTCATGACAGCTAAAGACAGCAGCCTGCGACCAAACTCGTTTGTTCTTATTGAATACTGAACGGAGTAGGCGAGGCTAACCGACAAGGCAAGCTTATAGAAAAGACTGTTACAGTAGCTTTGCGGGGCCAGGCGCGGGGTTTGGAGTCCACAATGAATTCAAAAACAAGAAGCCGGTGAAAGCAGAGGGTGGTGAAATTGATTATGGAGGGCCTCCCGAAGGCCAGAATTGGGACGAGAAAAAACAGAGTGCTATAGTTCGTACTATATAAGCTCCTCCTGTAACCTACACTCCATCATTCTAAATCTAGCGATTGTCGATTGATTCGCTTTTCGCAGATCCTCAAAAGCTGCACCGCTGCACGTATACTATTAGAAATGCCCTTGATCTTTATTACACTGCTCGCTTTAAACGTCTTACTCTCCCGTGCTGGCCCCACCACAACCGAACCCAACTGCCAGCTTGACTGGAACCTGTGTACGGCTAGCAATGATGGAACAATGTCCTGCTATTGCGATAGTACTAAACAGCAGCAAGGCTACATTTCGATGACTAACTGCTTCGCAAATGATAATGGACAGTTGACCGCGCGAGAGAAGTACGTAATGACTTGATCTATCACCGGGTGCTAAGTCTTCTAATATACCGTCCCTACATAGTGGTGGGTTTATGGGCTCGTGTGACATGGGTGATGCCCTAGCCAGGCTGCCAATGCTTCAAGCAACTTGCAAACCTGGTAATCAGTTAACATCAATCAACATGGGTATGTATAGTCTCTATATCACATATATAACTCACTGGAAGAATTTGTTGGTTGTGCTGACAATTGAATAACAGACGGAGTTATATTGTTCAAAGGTGACAAGTTGTCTTGCTTTGGGCAGACTTGGGAAGGCGCGATCCTCTCTGACTGAATCTGTAATGATTGTCGTGATAGAAGGGGAGTATAACAGGTCAAATGAATGGAGATCCTAAATCAAGGGAAACCGGGTTGTGGCAGCAAATGGTCTCGGCCTACTAGCGCTAGATCTGGAGACGGAACGCAATTTGACAATACCTCGGCCGCTCTATCTTCTATCCGCCAATCAGCGGATAGCAGCTAGGCTCTGCCTCCTCTTCGTAATTTTCCCCTTGTCTCCAAAGAGGGCTAATTTTAAGTGGTATACGCTTTCGGCTACCCTGTGTCTCTTTTTGCCTTTTTATTACTTTTCATTGATTTCTGCCATTTTTTGGTTAAGTTTCTTGTTAGTTTTTCAATGATTTTATGATACTCATTGCTCTACGTCTAGTCGTGGTACATTAGAAAAACGAGATATATCTCCCAAAGTGAGCCAAGTGGACAACTGGATCACTCTCGATAAGAGAAGAAGATTCAGCCTCAAAATGGATGGTGAAGGGATGGATGGGGTAGTGAAAGAACGGCGCCGAGGCATGAGTAGCTATATGACTGTGAGAAGGGCAGGCCCGTCGCATGCGTCGCGACCGAGCAGCTGAAACCGATATGATCCGCCACCCGGCTTCCAGTTGCCGGCAGATTACCAAGATTGTTTGCTCCCCTTAAGAACCAAAGGGATGTGGGCGAGCCTCCCCCGCTCCCTACTTTCGTCCAGGCACCAACCTTCAGGGTACCTTTGCCTCTTGGAGCTGGTCATGAGGTCGTCCGTGGGCCCACACATTTATGATTGGGCCACAGCCCACAGGCTTTTGGCGGCTATGTATACGGGGGCCGTCCGTGGCCTGCCGCATCGCCTTGACAACATGTTCCGCGCGATCAACACTATCTCCACTGGACCGTCCTTTGGTCTGTGTAATCAGCGGGCCTAACTGTCACCATCCCAGGACAACGGTTCTCACCAGTACTGTACTTCCTGATGTTGACGTGCTATGATTTTCGTGTGACATATGTCAAAAAGGCTTACGTAGCTGAGTACAGTACCTACCGTAAGAGGGAAGGGGGAAAGGGGGTCGCCTCGCCTACTGCCTATATGTGGCTTTTCGTAAAAATCCTCTAAAAGGGGAAAAGAGAACGGTGAACCGTAGCTTGATGGGTAGGAGGAGGAAAGAGGGAGAGACCGTAGCTAATGTGGGCTTGTGGGTCCGTGGCAGCAGAATAGTCTAGCCAAATTATCTGAACAGTTACGGCGCTAGAGATCTCCAAATCCACCGAGCCACTTTCCAAAAGTTCGTGATCGAAAACAGTCCCTTCCCTTCCCTTGTCCGCAGTAGCGTGTCCAGGAAAGTCCTTTCAGGCAAGGTAAGCAGTCAAAAGCTTAGCAGGGGTCGAAAAGCTCATCTGCTAGCGGAGCTCCTGAGTTCATTTTCTCGGAGCTGTGCAATAAGCTGCAAGCCTCCATGCCTTTCGGAAAGTTGTCTGAATCCCACCTAGGTCTTAAGCTGTAACGGGCCAGAGCCCGGCAGTAAACCATGTGCCATGGCCGTATAGATCCGTTGACGGGAAGATTGGAGGAAAGACACCGCCTTCGGCAGAAAGGCCCTCACACCGTTTCACAACGGAGAAGGGGCCGTTTCCCTTCCCTCCTCAAGATGGTTGTAAACAGCATGCTGGCCTAGTACAATTGAATCAATTCTGCTACAGCCCTTCACACGAGGGATCCTCAAGAATTAGTCTTGGAATCAACACCTGATTAGCGGCGCCCTCTTCTTCCCTGACGATCAAGTCCTTCTACCTTGTACAAGTAGATCTCGTTACAGGTAGCGAATAGCTATCTGCACAGATTGCTTTAATAGTAGTAACCTATTCGCGATTTCCTAGCTGTAGAATACTTCGCCGACTATAGTCTTCCGCTCTCGTAACTACCTTCTGCGACGATATAAGGCCTATCGCGAATCTAGTCTTATCGAAGTTATAGATATCCTCCGATTAGATACTCTTCTTATCGATAATACGTTATACGGTCGCAAACTACTCTCGTAGCGATTTTGGGTCTTCGTTTATGTTAAGGGGTCTGTATCGCAGGACAGAGAACCTGTTGGCTAGGCAGAGAGTCCAAGTCTATGGGGTCTGATTTCAAAGACTGAATCTTAGGGTCTGGTAGTCTCCACTAGTTCCCACAATATATACATAGCGTTTGCGCGTGCCGAGTTCCCACAGCCCCACACAGAGCCCTTGGGGCTGTTACCCTAAGACGACGCGGGGTCGATTCGATCGTGAATCGTCTTGAGTCACCACGCATGACTTGCGCCGTGACAGTTTAGGGCGCACTAGTAGTCGTAGCGTCTCGAGAAGCGCGAGCGGAGCTTATCACGACGATTAATAAAGGTTGATAGCCAATTCATGCCTACTATAGTCGGAGGGGTCTCGCCTAGGCCTCTGCATGGTGCGGTCTTGGTCCTCAGTTCGAGGACCGCGGACCGGACCGCACGGTCTTGCGGTCTCAAATTTGAAGGTTAAGACCGCACCATAGTGAACCGCGGTCCCTTGCGGTCTTCACCACGGCGAACCGCAATTGCATAATTCTGCTAAGATCTTCCCTTTTCGGTTGCATAAATTGATGATTCATCCCTTTTAATTACTGTTATTAAACACTGTTTTGATCCCTACTCCAACATTTGCGGTATTTCAGTATTAACTACTATGAAAACAGATGAAATATACGAAAATTTACTATTTAGTCCTGCTAATATAAGTATATTTTTTTGTTCTGTCAAGGAGGTATAATAGTATTTGTTGTTGGCTAGGTGTATGGGGTAAGAAACATATATATTAATATCAGTACCTTATCCCATCTTTACTGAGATTTCTTCACTAGATATACATAACCCCTTGTATGTATCTAAAATAGGTATTAAGGGTATCATTGGAGAGCTTAGATACTGTAGTTAAGTGTTTACCTGGAAATTCTACATTCTGCTACTAATATATACTAATAATCTCGGCAGGAAATTGGCTTTCTCCTACATGGAGGGTGGACTTAGGAAAGAAAAGGCGGAATATAGTGATGTGGGCCTTCTAGGGGTCCTTTTCGGTCCTGTACGGGCCTCTTTGCGGTCCACTGCGGTCCACTGCGGTCCACTGCGGTCCTCTTCGGTCTTCTGCGGTCTTTGCGGCCCTAATCCTGTCGGATCGCAGTAGAGTGGGGCCTATTGCCTAATCACGATTAGAATTGAATTTGATCTATCTAAATTGTGCTTCTCGCTCTCTCCTAGACAAAATCGTCTACTTATACTCTTACTAAGAGCTAAAAATATTTTAGAAGGTATCTCCTCTACCCCTACCCCTACCCCGTATCCTATCCTATACTCATTTCGTCAAAATGTTCCAGAGTCAGGCCTCCTCTCAGTTCTCCGAGCACTATCCCTCATCGGCTTTTGAGGATAATCCGCGAGATACCCTCTCCTTCTTCACTTCTGATGGGCTATTCAACGTCGACGGGCGCGAAACGCCAATTTCCACTCCTGACGTGAGCCTACTCCGACCGGTGATTCCTCCTGCTTTCCCAGGAACACTCGAACGCGTTAATCCTCCTAAAAGGAAGGACTATATCCTCTGGACTGAAATGGCAAATAAGGATTTTATCGTCTAGTGGCTAAAGACAGAGTATGGAAGTAAGATGAAACAGAATATCTTCGAGGGTAAATCTAGACTTCCGCACAACCCAACATAACCCGGACCCAACCCGGGCTGGGTTGGGTTTTGGGTCGAAGACTCCGACCCAGCGTTGGGTCCGGGTTACGGTTGGGTGACCCAGCCTGGGTCCGGGGCCCCAACTTGGGTTACAAACAGTGCAAACATAAATTATGCAAAAATACGTATGTTCTAGAGTCGTTTTCACTATATTATCCGTAGTAATATTAGTATCTAAATTATATTACATAGTCATAATACTATATTAATTTATTATACTAGCTAAAATGTGTAAAAAAGTAATATTATCAATGTCAAGTAAAGTACGTGGTATAGTTACAGAAAAGGTGGTGCATCTACATGCGGAGAAATATATATCTTCAAGATCACTATGAAAATGTACCCCACTTCCCTTATTTAGTATTTATTATAATATTTATGAAGGATATATTTATAAATAGCTATTCTAAACATATATTACTTAGTATCAGAGGCTATAACCAATATAAAAGGCTGATATAAGCTGTATTAGACAATACTAGTGCATAATTTATAATCATTTTATACTGGTTTTTATGTAAAAATTGGGTCGAATTGGGCTGTATTGGGTTTTATTGGGGCCCCAAACATTGGGTCCGGGTTGGGTCCGGGTTAGAGAAGTTCAACCCGGACCCAGGCTGGGTTGGGTTTTGGGTCGAGATCTTCGACCCAAGTTGGGTTATGCGGAAGTCTATGTATAGGTGCTGATATTCGCTTAAGGCCTAAAAAGTGCGGCCTAAAGAGCGGGTAAGGATAAAGTATTCGAGTACATTTAGCTGGCATCCCACTTGATACGGAATAACGAGGATCTTTTCGCAGGAATCGGCAATGAAGAATGAGGGCATGAACCTTAAAATATGCGGCATCCAATGCGGTGGATATCTACACAAGCTTCAAGTGGGATAATGAAGGTCGTTTTCGGATGAGTGACCATGTCCTCGGCATTTTGAATATATTTCTGCAGGGTTCCTTGATTCTACCAGTACACTTTGCCATCAACCCGCTCAAAACTGCCGTACTGTCAGAGACCACCAGGACCAAAGCCAGGTTGCCTCTGTAAATACCTCGCAGACTTCCGCTCTCCAAGTAACTCCTAGCTAATGATCAATGCAGGTTGTGTCAGCGATTTGCCTCGTGCACAGATCCCGTTCCTTACAAGGGACTGAAATACGCAGACAGGTAAGGTACGTCCTTATCCTTTTCATGAAGTCCCTTAGAATGATCGCATGATATCTGACCGCAAAGCCTAGAGCACCCCGAAGCGTATTCCGTCAAACAGAGTGACAGCGAGAGAGGCAAGAGTATTGTCTCTATTCCACAGGAACTTTGCTGACTATTTTCTTTATTGTGTACCTTCCTCACAGTGAAATGACACAACATCATTGTCCTTCGAAGTATGCGGCTGCAGTTGAGATAGCGAACTCGCTATGGTGACTGTACTTGCAGAGGATTTTGAGGGTGGCCGAATTTATCAGTGTACTGACAAGGCATATGTAGTTACCATCGAATCGGCATATGTGTTGGAAGTGGAGACTAAAACCAATCGTGGCCAAAGATTGTCTATCCCAGAGGCACAATCTACTCTGGAGCCAAGGAGTAAGCTGGATCCCCTTCGCGGTCGCCCATTCCTCTCGCTAGCTAGTGGGCACCTTACTAGCTTGACTTCAATTTGCAAAACGATTCGACTAGCGCTACCAAATACTTCTTTCAACTAGGAATAGAGCAAACATTTGCCGAATTACGACATCAGCTTTGAAGAACAACGAAGGCTCCGAGAAGTGCCGAGCGCCACTATGGAGAGGCTGGTGGAGAGGCCGAATGCCGACCACAGCCCCACACTCTGGTTGCCCTTTCGAGCGCCCCTACATCTCTGTCTCAAGCGATCCGAGTTGAGACGGATGCGACCCTCACGACTCAGTGCGAGGCGACCGACCCAGTGAACCGACTTTGCCCCTAGCGCAGTCTCTGTGAAGCCTGAGAAAATCCAATTTGGTGTGTGCTGTGGCGTCTTTTCTCGGCGAAGGGATATTATGTCATACTTCGAGATGCTAAAATTAGTTAGCTAACTCACCAGTCACAGCGGAACCCTTGCGTCATTTCTCGGGGAAATACTTCTACCGGACACCGCGATCAGCTGACATCCGCCTCCTGGATAAGGTACCCACCAATTGGGACTTGTCGCGGTTGTCTTCGCTACTGCCCCTGTGACAGATCGATGGCCGACGACTCACCAGATTACAAGGCTCTCTTTCTGCAAGAGAAGGAGAGACGCAAGCAGGAAGAAGAGCGGAGGAAGCAAGAAGAAGAGAGGAGAAAACACGCGGAAAATGAAGGACGACGCGAGAAAGAGAGGAGGGAGCAGGCCGAATCACAACGAAACCAGATTGAAGAGCGCACCCGCCGGACAACTTTCCTGGATTTTCTACGCCACTGCCACAACCTACTCTCCCGACCGTTGAAAGTCGCAACGCCGTCTCGCTCGACCACCGGGACGATACCACTTCCTAAGGGCAAACATTGCCCGACACGACTGCGTCCATGGACGGATTGTGTCCGTCAACAACAAGCCATCTACGACAGGGTATGCACCTACCTACAATCTACTGATGAATCCCGAGCACAACTCTTCCCTCCTGTGATTGCCCTTGAAGAGCTTGCTAGGCGTTTCGCTCTTCGACCTATCAGCAGTGAACAGGGCATCGAAACATACGAGCGGATCGCCGTGGAAGATCATGTGCGCGATATCATTTCGGAGCTGTGCAAGATCCCGGCTGCTCGAGAGGAGTTTATGCTTGGCGATGGTGTTTGGTTCGACAACCACACCAACGCGTTGACCGAAAGCCAGGTTGAATTAGACGCAAACCATCCTCCCATTTTACGCCGTCCGCGGCCCGATCAATTTTGCATTCACCGTGTGGACGGCAGCACCAATTCTCTCCTCCTCACCGTTGAATATAAGCCACCGCATAAGCTCTCCGTGGAGACCCTCCGGGCAGGACTGCGACCGATGGAATTGTGGCAAGAGATGGTCAAATGCAACACAGTGCCTACGGACCCTGTGGAGAAACTTAGATACAATGCGGAGCGGCTGATTGACTCAGCTATGGTCCAGGCATATGATGTTATGATTGAAGAAGGTCGTGCAGACGCTATTTTGACGAACGGACTTGCTCGAGTCCTCCTCCACGTGCCATATGATGACCCAACCACGTTGTTATATCACTTTTGTGAACCCATCGCCGAGATCGATGAAGCAGATTTGCAGGATCTGCGGCAACCGAAAACTTCCATCGCCAGGGTGTTGTGCCATTGCTTACGAAGTTTTCGTTCTCCCACGCGTGACCAAGAGTGGCGGAATTCTGCGCGAATGCAACTTCATGTTTGGGAAACTAGCTTCGACCATGCTCGCTCTTTGATTCCAGACGAAGAGCTACGGAAAACTCCTCCGCACTCCGAAAATACCTCAAGTCCCGAGCTGACTTCCTCAGACTACCAACCGTCGTCTTCTCCACTCGAATCACCCACAGCAAATGGTCGCCGAGTGCCCACAAGATCTCAAGCACGATGTACGCCACTCAGTCCCCAACATCGTTCGCAGTCACCAGACTCATCCGGCTCCGACTCAAACCAAGCGACGGGGCGCAAACGCGGCTTCAGTCAAGTCACTTCATCTCCGTCTGCCCAACGAGCAGCCCGTCAACGCGAGCCTGGTAATAATCAACACAACCAGTCCCGCCACCGTGATGCACAATTTTGCACCCAGCGTTGTTTACTTGGACTGCAGTCCGGCGGTGCCCTTGACGATCGCTGTCCAAATGTGATGCTCCATCGTCGAAGCAAGGACGATCTCCAACATCAGATTACTTCGGAAGATTTGGTGCGTTTACTCAAAGCACAACTGGACGAAAACATTGACCGATGCACACCCCTTGGAGGTTGCGGGGCGTATGGTGCACCCTTCAAACTTAGTTGTATCACATATGGCTATACTGTTGTCGGAAAAGGAACCACATCTGGGCTGTGGAAAGAAGTCTCCCGCGAGAAGGAGGTATACCGAATTCTGCAAAAGGCGCAAGGGTCCGCTGTGCCTGTTTTCTTGGGTACCATCGACTTGGCGAAAATTTATTTCCTTCACGGGGCTGGAGGTATTCGCCATATGCTCGTGATGGGCTGGGGGGAGAAAGTATGGCATCGATGGAGCTGACGCCTGAGCTTCTGCGGAGGATTCACCAATCGAACAAGGAAATCAGCGCTTTGGGGATCATCCACGAAGACCTTCGGCGCGACAATGTTCTTTGGAATGAAGAGCTTGGGCGGGCGATGATTATCGACTTTCACCGCTGCACATTGAAACGTCGACCGACTTTGCAGCGGCCGCGTGCCTCAAAACGACGACTACGTCAACCAGAGATAGTTGGTGCAAAACGGCTTCGTGTGACGTGAAGACGGTTGCTCATTTATTGGATTAGCAATTCAGTTATGCATGATATTGAAGCATGAAGCATTCCCGGCCCGCATCCGCATGAATTAGTCAGGATTTCAATCTATTATTCTTGATGCCCGCGTCTTCGCTGCATCTACTGGCCTCAGGTGATATACGATTCTTTAGGTGTTGACAATGACGGATTGATCACCCAATTCTGGCTCTCGGACTTGACCTTATGTGATGCTATGAATGATATGAAAACATTGATTTAACTAAAAAGCTTCAGAACCGATATTATGGACTGTCGTGTACGAACCGAAAATATTACGATAAGCGCCCACCGCTCGACTACCTGATCAACGAGATTATTCACATGACTTTCCCAGCTCCCCCGTATAGTTCTCACGTTTCATTTGTCACCGACCGCATACTGCTTCCTTTCCTTCTCTCCTCTCAATACTTTGCTTTCGCCACCCAGCTCTCCACCCCAGAAACAGCATCATAGGGCGACTTCTTGCGCTCTAAAAGAAATGATAGAACTTCTGCCGGGCTGAAAACTTGCTCGGGCATCGTGCTGGCAAAATCACGAGCAAGCCCCTCAACCGTCTCCTGGTCAAATTCCTCGTTACATTGCTTTTGGGTCGGCAACTGCTTGAAAACCGTGTGGAAGAGCTGAGTCGAGATGTTCTGATCGGCAAGTTTGAAATGAACTTTCTTGTCTGAACGGCCAGGCCGAATCAGTGCTTCGCCCAGATGCTTGATGTGATTCGTGGTCATGATGAGTATCCGGCCCTCTTGGGATGAGACACCATCAAGCACAGTTAAAAGTCCGGATAGGGTGACTGCGGACTTTGACTCGTTTTCTTGGTCTGTGTCGACGCTGCCCCGGCGCCCCGCCCCAGCAGTATCCACGTCCTAAGAGGACAATACAACGTGGCGGAAACTCAGCAAAGAGCCTCATTAATGTGGTGTCTGAAATGATGTTGACAATGACGGATTGATCATCCAATTCTGGCCCTCAGACTTGACTTTACGTGATACCATAAATGATATGAAAAAAATGTTTCAACTATGAAGCTTCAGGGCCGATATTATGAACTGTCGTGTACGAACCGAAAATGTTGCGATAAACGCCCACCGCTCGACAACCTTGTTGAACGAGATTATCCACATGACTTTCCCAGGTATGCTGTCAGACATACATTCCATCAGCAGGCCCCTGTCTGCCGAACTCCTTCGAAAATTTCAGATTCGATTCCGCAGCTAACTCCAGGTATTTATAGCTCACTTGGCTGGCATTCGCCTCGGCGAGAGCATGTGCAATTGCTGCGATGTTTTTGATCTATTCCATGTTGGTCAGTCAGCAAGCGAGAAGTACACAGCTGCGCTCTGGAACCCACCTCTCGTCCGTTGAGCTCTAAAGACTCCAATCGTCGGAGGTCGTGCTTCTCGATTATAGCAGGTCCTTGGACTGTACGTGCCCTCTTCAGAAAAGTTGACCAGAGACCCCTGGGGAATTCCCTGCTCAAGTCTTTATACTTGACGATTAAATGAATCCGACTAAGGATTGCATCATCGAACTGAATACCCCGATTAGAAGTCAAGAATAAGATTCCCTGGTAATATTCCAGCTTTCTGAGAAACACATTCACCAGGCGGTTGGGAGCATCGTGGTAAGACGTGCGCTGCTCCATGAACGCATCTGCCTCATCCAAAAGGAGCACAGCTTTGAAGTGTTTAGCGATCTTGAATACAATTTCAAGTTGTTGCTCAAGCGCATTGGAATCTCCGTGGTCGACAACGAGCTCGCCTGCGGATATCTGAGAAAATTAGTGAGGCCGCAATCCGCGCTACGACAGGCTCGTACCGAATAGAGAGGCAGCTGGAAATATTCCGAGGTTGCTTCAACTGTGAACGTCTTTCCGACGCCGGGTGGGCCACTAGCACGGGTTAGGACGGAAGCTTCGATATAGGACATAAACAATTTGCCGACATACTCCAGAAGAATGTTGACTCCTAGGCCTTTTCCATCAATTACATCGTCAAAGGGTACTGTCGGTATCAGACCCAAGCGGGCTTTTGCCATTGACAAGAGGAGTGTCTTGTTCTCTGGCGGAATTTGCAGGCAGTCAAATGATTCAGGTGACCAGTTCACGTCCCTAAGAGCACTAACTGCGCACTCCACTGGAATCACATCAGCAGATTCTCAAACCATTCTCAATCGTGTCACGTACAGAACATTTTCTCCTTGAAGCTGAAACAACAAACTGTTGGACAGGCAATTAACAAATCGGCCTCGCTCAGCTTCTGTGCATCCACACCGTCCCCTCGCATTCTCTCCTTCTCTCGCTCGCGATCCTCCATGAGCATCGCCCCTATGTCAATAACCGCAATGCCATTCTTGTCTTTTACCCCTAAATCGCGGAGTGACGGTCGGGAGTAGTTTGGCTGCATCTTATGGAAAAATGCGGCGTCCACTGCCACTCGGCTGTTGATGTTGATTTTGAAAATCTTCCCCTTATTCACATAGAATGCACTGCCTTTACAGTGCTGAATATGCGAGCCAGCTAAATCCCGAAATTTTTGACCTCTTTCGACTAGGTCTTTTCGGACCTGCTCGTGACTCGGATGGTGGCAGAGAGGGTAAGCTTCAAGAGTCGCGATCGGCTTTGACCCCCGGAACTTTGGCACATGCAGAAAAGTACCGGCCTCGCCGAACTTGACTCCGTCATAATCAAGAAATCGGCATTCGAGGTTAAACCACGTCTCGTCATTTTGGGTTACTTCTTCTCCCGCGTCGAATTTGACACATCGCGGCTCTTTTGTGCCAATGCATGTGGTATAAACATGACAACCGGGTTTGAAAAGGGCCCAAAGAAGGTCATAAGTAATATGACCGTGCTGCAACATTGACGAGAGACGCTGCGAAATGGAAGCATATGCGTGCTTGAGGTGGTCGATGAGCACGCGGAGATGCTGCGTCGCTGCCGATGTATGATTCGAACTGTTGTCCATGCTCTCCGCGTATCTGTCGAGCTCTGGGAGGAAATGAAAAAGGACATTTTGCTCGAGCTAAATTCACGTCAGCGTTTTCGTTGGAAATGAGTCTCTGTCATGATTACCGATGGCTTGTCCTCCATCAGACTGATAGCTTTGACATCGTGTAGCACCGCACGCAGGATGTCGCGCAGGCCTTCCGATTTGATGTCTATGTACGCCGTGACTTCCTCGGAATTCCGTCCTAGTCGTATGATTAGCACTATTTCTACTTGCCGGGTAAAATATTACGTACCGATTCGTTCGCGGACAATGAATGCGTATTCAGCATAATCGTCCAGACTACTGATAGTCTCCGCTTGCTCGCCGATCTCGTATTTACAAGCTTTTGGGTCCCAGCTATATCGGCGTCAGCTGTCTGCTGGAGAAACGCGGAGAGAAGGGAGTGGTTATTTGGGGAAGTAGTCGTGGAAGAGGGCTTAACTAGTAGCTCATACGTTTCAACAACTGTTTTGAATGAGGGCGAAGATGCCCACTTCTCGAACAATTTGAAGTCGTCCGGCGTAGTACTGATCGGATGTTTGAGATCTGATTCATCTGCTACTGGAGTGCCGTCCTCCTGTTCATTGCTTGCCGGATAAAACTGAGAAGGCTTGGCCGCCATGGAGAGTTCAGCTGAAGTACATTCACCAGAGGTGAGCTTCCCCATCAACAGCTTCAGTTGAGCCATGTCCGGGTCCGCTTGGAAATTACCCTGAAAGACAGGACTATTTGGAGGTTCCCGTTTGGTAAGATCCGGCAGCACCCTTTCGAGCACATCAAAGAGGTACTTCAGGTCCTTCACCGTAGTTTGGGGCGTGGCCGACCCTGATTTTGGGCTATCTGGAGGAGTCAGTCCTTGGTGACATGGGGAGGAAGTCTCCGATGCCATGTTATGCTCGACCTGAACAGGTGCCATGTTGATTGATACAGCCTATGGAGTTTGATGATGCGATGGAGAAAAAATGGCCAAGAGCTGCTGATGAATACAGGCGAAGAATTTGAGGAATGCGAGAAGTTTGGTCATATTTATATCTTAGCAACTTCTGGCCCCCTTAAAGCTTTAGTAAACGGCACGCTGATAGTCTGCGTGGAAGTGGATGTAGGAGCTTGATGCACGACATGGATCCCCTTACCGGCGTACGTCGGGGAACATGATCTTGGATAACAGCCCTGGGCAATCTGCAGGTGCCTACGGGGCGGAACCATATACCTTTGTCATTTCATTTGTTCTAGGCCTATCAAGCTTTGTCTGTATGCGCCTGTATGGGATGCCTGCAATACAACTTCTAGGAGCTTGAGCAGGTATGGGCAGGTATAGCCAGAGCCAGACAGAGATGTACAAAAATGGGCAGAGATGGGCAAATGTGGAGATGTGGAATGGGCAGAATTAGGCATATTAGGTGAGCAGAAATGAGCAGGCACGGGCGGAGATGGGCAGCCCAACGGTGGGCTTTAGGCTTAGCCTAAGTCACTCGGGTCTTGGCACGTCCATCTTCCGTAAATGGAATTGGGTGCTGCCAGGAAGGGGTGACTAATGATTTGTCTATTATCACGTGATATGAAGCCGTGGTGCTCATCTTCACGGGCTAAACCGGCCATGTCACGTTGCCTGCCCCTCCTGACCCCCGCTTGTCAGAAGACGTTTGCGACACCCTACCTGGTTTGAAAAATGATGCATGAATGCCCAACACCATATTGAATACTACGACTATCTCTCGTCCCAAACAGTCCCTTCATCAAATTATCTTCCCGTCGTTTGAAGATGTCTTGATGCTCGGCTTGGAAAACTTTGCAAACGAGATCTGAGGTATAATAGACAATTTTGCAGAGTCGCAAACTCTGCCGTCAATCAGCGGAACTTTAAGGCATCACTAGTGAGACTAATGTCCCCGTACCATGTCAAGCAAACTTGGGTTTCTTAAGAGCTACTAAACTCCGTAACACAGGGGCTCAATTATTCGACACGACCGCAACTCCCTCCTTTGATAACACTGCGTCCCAAAAAGAAGACGGAAAAGGCGCGGGAGGACCACCTATATCGAACGGGAGCATATGACCACTTCGCCGTCCGCACTCTGCGCCCTTTTCACAAACCCGTCTACTGCGGCCATGGCCGGAGAATCGGACGCAACGAGCAAAACAACAAAGGATCAAAAAGTTCGAGTGGATGATATTGCGCGCGATGACGGGCTCCTTAAGGCCAAAGTAAAAGAGTTGACGGGCGAAGACGTGACTGTGTCTCCAACAAATTTCGAGGTCCATGATTTGGATTCGGTTGATTGGAACACGGCGTGTGCTCTTCTTGTTCAGATAGACGGTGGAGTGGGTGCTGTGTATGTTCATGGACATGAATTGGACATTGTGATGACAGGTCCAGATCGTGGAACTGGATGGTGGCTCATTATATTAAAGCAGGGCCAGAGTTGTCGTTTTTATGGGCAGCCTTCTGTTCGATATTTCCGACGCCAAGTCTAGATTGTCGGAATTTCATAAATGCTTCAGTGAACTCAATTGGCACTTCCAGTTTGATTTCCAGGCAAGGTAGTGGTGTACCACTCCAAGGCATAAGCAATCTTAGGTCCTGACGAGCAGAAGGAAGAACGCTTGAAAGTATGCCTCTTCCCCAAGGATTTTCTGAAGAAGCAAGATACTCAAGCAGCTCGGATTTCTGGAAAGGAAGCACTGATTGCAAAGGCTGGTTTTCTGGGCGAGGTAGTTGATTCATATCTGCGTAGCGGTTAGTCATACTTCATGACACAGTGGTAATATCATACCGTGTATACTTCTTGGACTGACTCCTTGCAGGGGATTCTCGCTTCGCTGGCTCAACTGAGTATTATATTGATCCGCTGTTGCTTGATTTCCATATTCAGATCCAAGGAAGCTTGTCATATCAAACGTGTGGCGAGGAGTTGGAAAGCCATCCCTTGACAAATCATCCGGATTTCCGGCTTCATGAAACAAATTGTCGTCGTTAGAATCTATTCCAGTTGTAGCCAAGTCCTGTCCATCACCGGTAGGGATTTCGGGAATTCTGGCATCCTTGCAAGTCGTCTTTGAGATATTTGCGTCGTCTGGATATTGCAAGCCAAACTCCGCGCAGATTTGGCGCGATACATTGCTAAGACTCTCCGGATGTTGGACGCCAGTCCACCATTTGAAGAGTACTGGGACGAGTCCATATTCGCGCTTGGAGCCAATCTGAGTCAATGTTGAAGTTAAAGAGCGAAGAACAAAAATATCTGCACTCTTCTTCAAAATCGCGGCCAAGTTATCTTGTGCGTTGGAATTCCGTTCACGAGTCTGCCTTGGCTGGTTGGAGAGGTCACTTTTCATTAGTCGACAAGCAGCTTTGCATCGCTGCATTAGACGAGGATGCGGGGTGTAATATTCGCCATCAAACTTCTTTCTCTCCGCTTCAAGCAAAGAGATTATGCGGTGATTAGCGGTGGATTTCATGGCTGGTGATCATATTTGGGCACACGGGCAGATATGAGCAGGTATGGGCAGACGTGGGCGGATGTAGGCGGAAGTGCAACGTTTAAATACCTCAATATTGAGGTATGAAACGGGCCAGAGTGTTTGACACGGTCTCTGACCAATGATAGACTTGGAACCGGTGGGCTGAATACCAATTACATGTGCAATGGTCTAGAGCTTTCGAATTTCAGCGACACAGCCGCCAGTCAACGAAGTGGGTCATGCGTTTTGCACCAATCGTACTTTGTCACATTGAGCGCAGCATGCTTTCATATCGCAGGATCACGCTAATGCATTAACCGCCACTTCCATCTATGGAGCCTCGTTTCCTTCTGTTGCAGATATGGCTACCTCCAGCTAATGGTTGGTAGCTCGCTCTGGATATGTGCCGCAGAGTTGGTATTATGCACGCTATACTGACAGGGTTCCGCGCTCGGACGCCGTGTCATCCATGTGACAGACATCACGTTCGAGGACAATCATAATTTACTTTTTTTTCTGAATTTCCATCATCGCCAGATTCTCCAAAGCAGTAGGTCGCCGAGTGCCTACAAGGCCTCAGGCCTGGTGTGTACCCTTTGGTCAATCTAAGCAATCCTGCTCAATACAACCTACTGATGGTGCTATGAATGTGATGGACCTGCATGAGACAGAACTCGTCACATGCGCGGTTAGTTTGCACCAGCTTTCTCGGAAATTTTGTATCTTATAGGCTGTTGTCGAGAAAAGTGGAGGTTTTTATTACATTGGCATGGAATTGGCCCAAATTATATCACCTGGGGACAGCTCAGCTTGCACCTTTTCCATATTCGCTCATAGATTTCCCTTTCTAATCAATCAATCAATCGAATATTTCAGATGATTCCGGTAGTCCTCATTCGCCACCATGTTTACTAGCTCGTACGCTTTTAGCTGGTTCTGACAGCTGTTAAAAAACAATTCTTCGCCGTTTGTTGGGGCTTGCTCCAAGAACTGTCGGGAAGCCGCGCGCGAGTTGTCGCCCGTTTCACTTCGACAAGTGTCTAGGGCGTGACTCATGTGTGACAGGCCGGAACTGTGTACGCTAGTGTACGGCACGGGCCGATACAACTGGAAACTGACAATATGCTGCTTTTGCTCATTCAATAGGCGGTGGGATTTGGATCAGTGGGAAGTGGTGTTGACTTATCGTAATATCTACAAAACGGCCTCCAGAGTACTAATGCGTGCAGCTGCACACTTGTTCCGGGCTTAGATCCTTCCAAGCAGAGCCAAGGGCTGTTAATTGTATACACATGTTGCGTGGTAAGAAGAGCAATTAATTTCTTATTAAGTCTGGACGGGATACACGTTATCCACTTGTCATGCAGTTCGTTCGCTCCCGATGAATGACGCAAACATAGTCTGGAAAGCACTCATGCTTGGATAATGCTTTCAATAACGGACTAGCCCCAGATGAAGACAAATGTCTACTTCCACTTCTACCCTCCCTCAACTCTTCCTATATTCCTTGGAGATCTTCTCGGTGACGTGCTGGCGCTTCTCGGCGGAAACTTTCGCGGCCTCGGTGAGCCGAGTTTCCTCGGCCGCATTGGGAATTTTAAACGATTCTGGACCGTAGGATTTGCCGCAGCGTTCCCCAGAAGCCTTGCCCTGCTCCTGGAGGGGTCCTGCGTTCGATGCTGAAAAACCAAGCTGGAAGCTGGTCTCCTCACGGGCTTTGCCTTTGCTGTCCTTGTTTGATGCCATACTGGGGAGTTTGGTAGGTATCTGTGTAAAATTAGACTTGCAAGATGGCCGAAAGGGGGAGTCATACATCTTTCTATTAAGACCGAGGTAATGTACTGGGTCTGGAAGTAGATGTGGTCACTGTAGAGACAAATACCCCGAGACCGACTGAGATGGATGAAAACTTTTATCTGTGAGTCTCCCCGGGAGAATAAACAGCTTTTATAATGGCCAGGCTGCCGTTCTTCTCGGATCATCGAATGGGCGTACCTGCCGACGATAGACTGGACCGAATATATCAAAAGCTACGAATGGCTACAGAAAGAGCAGTCAGAGCAATACACAGAGCACTGAAAGATAACAAGATCTCATGGCGCGCAGCAGCCCTCGCCGACCTGATCGTTATCCAGAATCAATTCCCTCTGATCGCAATCACACAAGGCGTTCGAATCCCTGCAGTCGTTGACGTACGCGAATTACTCGCTGTCAACCGCCATAATACACACGCCGCAGCGCTGAGAGCGAATATGAAGGTGAAGATGGAAGAGGAAATCTTCGACTCAATCGGAGACGAGTTTGCGGAAGGACTGATTCAATTTGCTTAGACAACGTTTCATGCTTACTAGCTCGTGCTCTACATTGCTTTCATTACTTCCTACTTCATTTACCAAGATTCTTCTAAGTATCTAGGATGCCGATCGAGGGCGATGGCATTTTTTGTAGGGGGCATTGACGCGGGACTGCGTCCCACACACGTCCCACACACGTCCCACACACGTCCCACACTCGTGATACACTGCTAGATGTACGTTACCCCATCGAGTAGCTATCGCCACTCGAAGTAGCTCACATCCTTAGAAGAATCCATCTCTTTTCGTTCCGATCACTCAATAGTTACCGGGACTGCCCAACACGTTCCTGAACTCGATGTGGCTATGAAAGAAAGGAATGAATCCGTACATGAAGCAGCCCAACAGTTGATTGTATCTCAATTCCACTACGCACAACTCTACCAATGAAAATAATTCGCATCTCAACCAGGGATTGGTCAAGGCCTAAGATCCCTGCTGCTGAGTGACGAGAGGTCAGCCCCAAAAAGATGAAAAATTGAGCTCCAACTATCACCCGAACGTGTGAGAACGTCTAAAGAAGCGTAGAAAATACTCCAGTATATATGGGCGTTCATGAATTGTACCCTAGAAAACAGTATTTAGAGTGAGGGGTCCACTTATCCTACTAGACTGTAAATTATATAGCTATCTGACTATCTACGCTCACAGAGGGGCCGCCAGCTTGAGTATAGAACTAGGAATCCTCAGATTGTTACACGCACCTTTTGAGCTGTCATTTCATATGTCATGTGAGATCATTATATAGCTAGGTGCGTGCTAATAATAGGAACGGCTATACGAGTAGTCGAGCCATTTCAAAAGGGGTAGAATCAAATATAATTTCTATATCATAACAGGTAAGCCAAGTATAAACTATATGCGATCAGCCTAGCACCTTACTAGGCAAGCCAATCGGGCCCACTTTAGCTATCTCCTTTAAGGGGAAAGTGTTGGTAAATGACCCCATTAACTTGTTTCGCTAGTGGAGACGCAACCCCGGTCCGCCAATTACACTAAATGAAGTACATAGAGCTGAGAAGACCGATATTTGTTCAGTGCCAATATAGCGCCGTAGTTTTGACCAATGACCCACAATAGTCACGGATTTAGAAGAAAAATGATAAAATAAAAATGCACGGTTTATATATTCATCGAAAGTATACAAACCTACATAAAGAAAGAGACCGTCAAACTTGTGCCCTCCCATGTTCCCGAATATAATCCCCCTTAAAATTGAGGAGACATTACTAAGTCTTACTTTTCTTGGAGCCTATCGAGAAAATAGCTTCTGCTACGTATTTCGTGAGCTCAGAGTGTCATATTTAAGGGTCATAAGTCCAAAGGATCGTTTCAACTCAACCCAAATTAAAATCAAGCACACCCACGGCATCCAATTAAGACATTACACATTCGAAGAAAGAATGAATTCCGATGATGTGTTCCTATTGACTACATCCGCAATCGCATTATTCTATTGTGGATCGGCCCTTGTTTTCTGGGTCACGTCTATCAGGACACAGAGATTGAAAGAGCTACTCATTTATACCCAGTTGATCATCAGGGTTTTTATTCTCTATGGGTCATTGGTTTCCATCATGCTTGTAATTCCACAAACGACGCTGATCAGCAGTAAGCAAATCTGTTCTACTCGATGTCTTCCAATCATTCTAATACTTCAACAGGCATGTCAAGGCAGATTTTATAGCCGATAATCTGTAGCGTGCTGCTTTTACTCATTCTTAAAGAGGTAAGCTTTGTGAGATATGGAATATGAGGCATGGTAATAACTATTTGCAGTACCTAAGCATATCAACTGTGTAAAGTCTTCTGGTCCACTCTTTATTTGCTTCGTGCTTCTTTAGAACAGTTCTTATCTTGCCACTATCAATTCATTATATAGTCAGATCAGACTCAATGGTCTACACACAGAGGTTTAACTACTGAAATAAAAGATATAGGGGCACCGCAAAATCCCATTTTCTCTATTCATGATCTTTACATTAGCTGAAATGAGCTTCATCTATTACTAGATCATTAGAGCTTGGTTTATTTGCAGGAGACCTTTGTATATACACAAAACGGGGTTAACATCACTATAGCCTTATCCTAGCCTTATAAATGGTAAGCACCGGCGCTCCTTATAGATAGCATCCGTTGTCTCGGTATGGTTATTTCTTGTCCTGCTATGCTTAGCAGTCCTTAACTCCGTATAAACCAACTTACAAAGTTAAATAATGACAGTGAGTATTCAATCCTTATATCCACCGTACGCTACTAACCCCTCATAGCTTCAAATTTCTATTATCAGCCTAAGAAAGGTAGTCGTTACTATTCAAATTTTGCGGTTTCCGGACAATATGGACGTCATCATATCTCTCGAAGATGTTTGATTGCTTAAATCGAAGTAGACTCGGCATTATAGGCAAAAGTCTCACTCTTATATCATGAACCCATTCCATATAGTCGAAATTCATAGCCTTATTTCTGACTACTATTTTATTATTTATTAAAAGCCTACCGTGTCATTACATGTTCAAGGTAATGAGATACGGCTACGGTAGGGGCAGCAGTATCGATGTATAAGAGGGATAAGGAGAAAGATTACTATAGGGCAGAGATTCTATCTAAGCTAGGGACTGTGATGAGTGGCAGAATCATATGCCATGTAAATACAGGGGAAGTGATTTGTTCCGGAAATCACGTCCGTCACATTTCCAGGCCTTCATCTAGAATTTATGGCCTCTTAAACCTCTTCTGGTGGTCGTGAGTTTCTACGGTATTTTCTTCGAGTCACTACTTCCTAACGCAGGAATACCTAGGCAATTACTTACTCGGGTTGATTCTGAGATCTGAATGACTTCGAAATGTACTCGGGGTATATATATTCAGAGTCATTCATGACCGAGCTACTTGAACGGGTACCATTCCGTAGTTTAGGTCGAGGAATAGTGCTGTGATTTTGCTAGATGATAGTTGTAACTAATTTATGTGTACGTGCCTGATTGCGGCTAGCTAAGCTAGGCTTCGACGCAAGAATCGACGCTTTTGCGGAGGCCCCTCTTCGACACTTTGCCGAATCAAATTCCCAGCCCGTATATCACTTTGACAGGCACAGAACACCTCGGATATAAGTCGATAGAGCTGTATTATCCCATTTGCCAAGATATGACGTCTAGCGAGGGCGATTATAGTCCTCCGTATATGGATGGTGGCACATTAAGGATATTGGCTTGGATGATGCGGAATGTGACGGCTTAGAAATCGCTCATCTCCAATCTACAGACAAGTCGGATAGCAAGGGAATAGGATAGAATAATCTTCGATCCCTGTTCCCGCAGTTCCTGGTGAAGTTGTGATTTTATGGGAACCCGGGTGTAATGTTTCTTTGGGAAGGCTACGGCTCGCGCTTGCGTACATCGAGTCCGCGCACCTACACAGCAGAAAGATTCAGCTTAGCAATATTCTGCGCGCCTCCCACAATCTAGGAAGAGAGGTATTATTCCAATGATATTTTGACTAGAATTAAAGATTCCCAGAAAAATTATTAAAGAAAACATTCTGGATTTGCGATTATGATACCAAGTCTATCTCACCGGCTCCCTAAAACATCCCTACCTAGACTAAATATAAGCTATTATGTCCGACCTCACTTCCCGGAAGCCAGTTTATTACGATTATTAGTATCCAGTAATTATCTTTCTCCCCCTTAAAAATAGAGTCCGCGTGCCCGATTAACCGAAGGGCAATCTGAAGCTAGGCATAACCGATGGAAAGCTCGCTAAAAGCAAAAGTAAACCCTTTTTCGCGAAAGGCAGAATATTATTAGGCCAAAGTTTTCACCTTCTCCCATTCAGCAATAGCTTACTCGAATGATGACTGCATATAATAAATACGGGCTAACGCGGTAAGTGTGCGGACATAGAGCAGCTGATCGCTAATATCTAAGCTCGGGGATTCATTAAAGAATCTGGTCAAGTCGGAGATTTTCGACCGAGCTTCCGCGAGGCTTAGTTGCGAAATCCTTACAATATTCACATCCAGTGATAATACCAAAAGACGTCTCCGGGCCTTAGATAATCCATCTGTCGAGCGCAGGTTCCCAGTTTCTACTTTGACCAGACTTTCTGCTTCGTCGATCTCCCCCAACGCACAACGGACATCCACAAGTGCGCAGATGATTTGATATTTTTTTGGATCATTACAAAGCAGACCAGGATGGCGGTAGCAGTCCTCAAGATAAGATTTTAATAGCTCCAGTTCCCCCAAGGACTTCTGAATATCAGAAACCACAAGTGAAAGGTCAATATGCACTCGGAGTTCCATCAGAGATATGGCCTCTGGCATTCTCCAGCTTACTATCATTCTGTAAGCATCGTCAAATTTCTCCATCAGATTAATGACTTTCAGTCGAGAGGCGAATAAATAAAGGTGCCATGCGTGGAGTCTTCTATCGACGTAGTGAGTCCATATCGAATTCGACAAATGATTGTCGATAAAAGTGCATGAAGCGGTATAGTCTCCATTCAGGCGTGCTAATACACTTCGTCGGTGAGCTATTACGGCTCCTAGATATTGCGGTAGTCGATTGTTATCTTCAAATAATCGTTAAGCCATCGCAAGTTCTTCTTGATAGCAACCCGCCTCAAGCCCCGCTTTCACAAGTATACACTAAAGGGCCTCCTCTTTAATATCCACGGGTAGTTCTAGGTCTCTGACCTAAGCCAGTGTGTACTCAAGGCAGGGTATTAGAGTCTTGACATCAGACAGAAATCTAAGTTAACGCAATAAGTAACCCATTAAAGCCGCAAAAGCAAGATTAGAATCGAGCACTTACCGTGGTTCCCATAATCTTTCGCGTGGGAAAACAAAACAGATGAGCTTGATAGCGAGGATTTTACGTCTGTGGTCATTATCTATATAATTTAGAGATTGCCCCTTCAAACAAGATATAACGGTGTAGTACACATCGTTTGCGGTACCCCGAGATTTGTCCTGTCTGACACAGGAAGACAATTCGTTGATCAATACGGTAAAGCGAGAAGGTGAAAGAATCCTTTGAAGGACGGGATCAAAACCAGCAGCAGAAGGACTAAAGATGCCGATCTCTCCATGGCTTATCCACCGTTTCTGTTCTGCTCGAAATCGCAGGAAAAGCAATTCGGGAATCATATGATCACCAAGTAAGACAATAAGGGAAAGTAACTCAACAGAATCTGAGGATAGCCCTGGTAAAGCGAATGGGATCGGAGTCGGTCCCAAGGGAGAGTCGAGCGATGTTGTTATGACCTCCCCGTAAGAGCTACTATCGGACCCGTCCCCTGATTCTAGGAAAGAAATTCCCCTTTTCCGTTTCCGTACGACTTATTAAGTTCCTAAGGGTCGTCAGCGGTATTAGAATCAGTAAAAATGGAGCTTGCTAGGGTGTTGAGCCTAACCAATCTCTTGATGTTCGTTTTCTTCGTCAACTCGGTCTACTAAACTTATATCGGCAGGACCGGTTCCATGAGAGCTAGAGGATCTACCAGCGACGTGTTCGTAGAGGTCATCTCGGTTCCCAGCATTTCCTGACACTAGGCAGTGGTGATGGTTAGCCACGATACGCCAATACACTCGTAGCGGTGGAGCATATATTCTCACTCTGGATGAGCTTTCCAGCCTCTATTTTAAGGGCTTCACAGGAAAGCATATCCCGGTTCTGGATCACGTATTCAACAATAGACGTGGTTTCCTCTAACGTATAAAGATCAAGGTCCTTTATAGGCAACGCGCAAAGAACGAGCAGTACATATGCCAGGCTGGCATACTTATAGACAAGCCAAAGCATTATCTCTTTTCTACTTTAATTCCACTCGCGGCCAGACATTAGTTTCAGCTTGACGCCATCTTCGACGATTGCTTTAGGAAACTTCGAGAGTATGCTTTGCAATTGCGATTGAAGCCACGGATGCTTCCCTGAATTCAACCAGTTCGCCAAAATTGAACCGCTTCTTCTGATTGCGTCTGCTGTGCTATTAAGGGATTGTTATATAGGCTTCTTTTTCCTCTTATTCTTTCCCTTATTAACTGGACTCCTATTAAGAGTATCAGCAGCGCCACTTCAGAAAATAATACTAACTTACCCTTCCTGCTTATAACGCGCTCTTTTCACAGATTCCAGGGCGAACCGCAGCTCGTTCTCGACACTAACCAACTGATTCCATAACAGGTTTTCGTACCCTAGCGTCCATAAGAATAGCTCGTTGTTTATACTAATCAGTACCTCCGTGGAGCTCAACACAACCATTACAACCAGACAGGTTTAGGACGGGTGAATAGAAATAGGATAGGGGGAATGGGTCTAAGACGGAGAAAACGAGCTCAGGACAGGGGAATTACGTTTAGGGTAGGGGAAATAGGTACGGGACGGTAAAATGATTTCAGGATAGTAGAAACGGGTTCAGGATAGGGGAATAGGTTTAGTATAGAGGGAATAGGTCTAGGACGGAGGTAACGGGCTCAGCATGGGGTAAATGGGTTTTGAGGTACTCAGTACTTTTGTCTTGCATCACAAAACTGGCTCTAATTCGGTATAATTTCGGATTAGCGTTCTTGGCCGACACTATAGGGCTGCCTAGATAACGGTATTTGTGAGTTAGAGAGGAATAGTACGAGAGTTAACAAATCTGCCGTGTTTGACTTTTGTCAACAAGACTGGTTCTACGAGATCCGTCGCCTAGAACGAATCATTGTACGCATACGTGCTATATCATCAAATACTACAATCCATGTCACCATAAACCTACGAATTGCCTAATCGTTGATCTCACTCATTGTAAGTTACAGTCTTAGAAAAAGTGTCCCAGCGAGGACGCTCCGAATAAAATGGACTATATACACAAAAAGCAAAGAATTAGGCCATAGTCGTCACCCAATGACTTTAGAATGATTCGAAATACGAGATATAAGACACCGTGAAAGGGAGGTTTCTTTTACATTGAAGCACCACGAGTGATTTCACGGCCTATGCCAGTTTTTCCGCTTGCTGAAGCATCATGAATTCCATTATCAACGCCGTACAATCCGAATCACGCAACACCATGAACTCTGCAATTAATGATTGGCAAACCGATAACGAACAGACAATTCCCACGCCTAGAGCTCATACACCTCTCTTTAAGCGCAAAGATCAACCATTACCCCCATTCGCTCAATCCATCCTCACTCAATCGCTCTCAGATCTGGAAAACATAGACTCTGAAAACATTCCTTCCCCGAGTACGTTACGTCGTCTGATGTTCTCAGCGGAAGAGGAAAATGATGTTCTAGGAAAGATCCGCCCGCTCATGCTTAGGGAACGGGAAGGAAATTCCAGTCCAGTACAATCACGACCTCATCAGGTGAACAGAGGTTGGCCTCGTGGGGAACGACTTAAACGCACTCGCCTTAATACGAGGAGGTGCGAGAATACCGCAAATGATCAAAGCAGTGAATTTTGACAAAGCCTTCCACGATGGTAGATAACTTTTGTAAACGAAGAAACAAGCTGGATTGATCATAGACAAAACAATTATCTTTGTTAGACACTGCCACGACAGCAAATATCCGCGTATCATCTTATTAAGCATGCTGGATGATAGCGGTAACTAGGAGTGGAAGGATCATAAACTTCGACTAGTTAAAGGACGCACTAGTATCCAAACAGCGATTTGACCGAGCACCCTAACTTAACAATAAGAGATAGACTGGTGAGCTATTATCACCAAGTCGGGGAATTAATCAATCACGGCCGATCGCGACGAAGCAATATATTTATTGGTACACACTCCCGCAGCGGCTTATAATACTCATTTAACTATATACTAGTATTTTAAATAATATTTTATACATTCTTAGCCTCGAAGCGCCCTATGATTACCAAGCGTTAGTTCGAGCCATCCCGCGTGATGAAAAAAGTTAGGAAAAGTCCTTCGTACTTCTCATAGCGTAAGCTAAGATTTCTTATAATTTTGAGTGCATGAAGGCCCTCTCTCTATCTATCCTTAGCATAGGTTCCTCGAGGTTTGTATGGATAAGCGCCACGAGAATAGCGTCACGAGATTTGCTAATGGCAATAGCGATTCTCACCTGCAGGACGACAGGATGAAAGAGCCTTCCGAAGTTATCTCTGATTATGATACAGAATGTGCGAATGAGGAGTATATCATAGGTAAACACATTTCTCTCCCAAATCCAAATATTTCTGCTGCTTCCTAAGGACCTCCAAATTAACTCAACCACTGATTCAGGATCCATCGACCTCCTGTTCCGTGAGACGGATCTATTCTCGCATGCAGGCACGTACCCCACCACGATGGCGCCCCAGATAGTTCAATATGCCCTGATCTACCGTGAGTTTCGACATTTTTGCTGTACCTAAGGGATTCATCGCATGCTGAAGTGTAACTGACAAGGCCACTCGACTATGGCACCACTTGTGCTGCCTGTCAAAAATTACGTGAATCCTTACATCCAGGTCTGGCTACCCATGTCACTGTGTGACAACGCGCTATTCCCGGCACTTCTCTTTTCCTCTCTCTCGCACAAGAGAATAAATGACCTGCTTGCGGGCGGCAAATCGCTGCCAGCAACTGAGCTCATGAAGCCAGTCATCGAAGCCTGTTACAAAGAGGCCATCGGTGCAATCAACCTCGCTCTACTGACTCCAGGACGCGCCTTGACGGATGCCACTATACTGGCCATTCTGATGACAGTCGAAAGCCCGTTTTTGATAAGCTCTGACGGCTGGTTGGAAGAACCGCCCTTCCAGGCGCATCTACAAGATCTTCAGTGGTTGAGCGTTCACAGTGCCCGTGAGCCAAATCTTGGCCATCAGGAAGGGTTGTGCAAACTTATTAATATGCGCGGGGGTCTTGCCAGGATCGAGACACCGGGCCTTGCAGCAGCGGCTTTCTTGTGAGTATTTGCCGACCGTATACCTTATGCCAGAGCTGTCCTTGTGACCATCAAACAGCCGAGTCCTCGTCAATTCGACTTTGCTCCTGTCAACCCCGCCCCTTCCATTCTATCCACTGTCCGCACCTGATGTGCAAAACTTCAATACACCGGTCACACAAGAACCACGATGTGAATCAACGTGTATGATGATCCTCCATGCGGCCAGAGTCCACCCGCTGGTCAGCGCAGTGATGATGGAATTGGTCGATTACTCAACAGCTGTGGAGAGGTATATCAGGGGAAGTGCGCCGGGTCTGACAGCGCAGATCATGTGCGATCGACGCAACCTCGCTCAGTATAATTTGATGTCTATTCCAGTCATCACTGGTGGCGAGCCAGAAAACGTTCTTTCTGAAATATGCCGTATTGCTGCCATTATCTACAGCATCGGCGTGACGTTCCCTCTATCTGGAGTCGGGGCACCGTTTGGTAGCCTCGTAAAGCAGCTCAAGCGCAAGATTCAAGAGATTCGCCTTTTGGAAGTCCTCATTTTACAACCGCGAATTGGTTCTCTTCTTCTTTGGGCCACAACCATGGGCGCAATTGCGGCAAAGGGGAAGTCTGAGCGGCCATTCTTGACAGCTACTTTGTCGAAGTTGATTCATCAATCCGGCGTCGCCCACTGGAGCGATCTCAAGGCAGGTCTGAGATCAATCCTTTGGTTAGACGGTACATGTGATTTGGGAGGTAAGGAAGTTTGGGGGGAGGCACGTGCAGTCATAGAGTCAGTCTCAGAGGCTCCAAAATGCGATGACGATCTTTCATCGCCTGTCACTGATACCTCACCTCCATGCATGCGGTGCCAAAGTCGCAAGATCAGGTGTGATAGTCAAAGACCGTGTCAGGCCTGTGTCGCTGGTAGCCTCAGTTGTTCGCCAGAAAGCGCAGCACAACTCGAGACCCGCGGGAAGCACTTATTCTCCATTCGACCGAGACCGTGCGACATGTGTAGTAGGAGAAGAGTCCGTTGCGACAAAGGGCTACCATGCACCAGATGCGCACAGCGAGCCGTTGAGTGTACGTATTCCCGTTTGCCGCGCTCCCATGACGTGGCTTGATTCGCGACCCGCGCCTGAGGACAAAAAGGTACATCCTCGTAGGACGGGGCATGAATCACACGGGATTCAACATCACGATTATCATGCTAGATACTCGAAAAATTGCAGCGCATCACTAAATGGGGAAGTGAAGATTGGCTCGGTGGCCATGATCATGGAGTGGCTGGGACAGCAAACAAGACATTTTCCCATGTGCACGAGGTCTACTTCTATTCATTGGTCATGACTATAATAAGGTAGGGTCATTATTCTGGGTACGGTAGATGAGGTACCAAAGGACATTGCGAAACGCCTTCGTCTTAAGCGAGTGATCGATGGTTTCTTCCGCGCCGAACGGGGGTTGTGAACCATGCTATTTTGAATCAGCTTCTCGAAAGTTCTAGGAAGTTTAACCTGCAAAAACAACTTGTGGCAGGCAGACACCGCATCCGTTACGGAGACCTAGCGTGAAAAATAGGTTGAGCACAAGACCAGAGTCAGCGTTATTGTGAACGACCTTCTGCGGCCTCCGCTTTCCCCGGGACTGGACAGGGCCTTTCCCGTCCCTGAGCCTCTATGGGTGCATTCAAGGAAATCGTCTGAACTCTACGAAATGGAAGGACCTTGATTACGATAGACACATGTCACTACCAGTCTTTTTCTCAACACAAACAACACTAGTGATGTGACGTTGGGAGAAATTCCATTCTCTTGGATCAATAACTGTCATGGTAAATCATCTAAAACTATCAATACGGACCAAGGGGACGAGTTCAAGGCTTCAAAGCGGCGATCTCAGCCTTCACCATCGCAGGAAGAGCTTCCCAGAGGGTTGGGCCCTCGGGTTTCCACCCCATTGAGCGCAGTCGGCTCGCTCTACTTCGACAGTTGCCTCCCCACAGGACAGGCGCCCAGGGGTGGAATTTGAGGGCTTCGTCGACCGAAAGAGGATCGACATCTGCCGCCTCGAGCTTCCCTTCTTCCTTCACAAGCTGCGCAATCGCCTCAGACACTTCCCGCCACGCGAACTCGCCGGATTCTACGAAGTAGTAGCCTGTGGGCCCCCACTGCGCCGATCCCTGGGGTTTGAGTGCTTCTTCAACGAGGAAAACACACGCCTTTGCAACATCACTGACGTGGATGTCTATTTGGCCCTGTCCGTTAGCTTTGCCTGATCAAGAGAACGGCACGTGAAAAATAATGAATGACGTACGGTCCCAGACGTTCTTCCCGTCGCCCACAGTAAATGCGCGGCCTCGTTTGAGTATGGCCTCGGTCAAGAATGGGATTTGAATGCTGCGTTTTTTGACCGGCCCTTCTCCGATTCCGTAGATGAGTGGAGGACAGATGATGGCAGTCGGGACGTTGTGCTGCTTGCCGCCCGTGATGACAGCATCATCGACGTTACGGTGTAACGCAGACTGGTCGAGGGACGTAATTTCCTCGATGTCTTTGACATCGTCGAAGATCTTGGGTGCAGGGTTGCCGAAGCCAGTCGAGGCATCATTGAGAACACCGGTACCGGATATGTGGACCATCTTGCCACCACTGGTCGCGAGTCCGGATATCAGAGGCTCGATGCAGGAGATGTGGTCTGAGCTAGCAAGTTCTGCAAGTTGTTAGAGCTGAGGCATTTGCGGTGCGTGCAAGTTAGACTCCGATCCACTTACGCAAGACCACAGCAGCCTTAGTACTTTCCTGGCGTAAGATGGCGTGATCGTCTAGGGTTCCAATGACCGTGTTGATCTCGGGCCAGCGACCTTTGACCTTGAGGGCTTGTTCCTCGTTCCTGACCAATGCTACCACCTCGTACTCAGGATGAGTAGACATCAATAATCCAGTGGTTTGTCCCCCGACATAACCAGCAGCACCCGTGATGAATATTCTTGCAGGCATTTTGAGGGAACGTTTCTGGAATAGAATGACACTTGCTGGTGGATGGAAGGAATGAGAGCTGGGGATAATTGCCTATACTCATCCAAGTGGTGCGGCCTTCGCGTCGCTTTATAAACATTGCGTCGGCGGGATCTTGCACCACGGAGAAACTCGTGGTCATGATTAGCCAATCTTGAAGTCAGCCTACACTTGCAGGAGACTGTCAATTGTACTGTCTGTTCAGTTGTCTACAGATCTTGCCGATCTACGCCCAAGTGTAAGTGGAGACTGTCAGAGGCTAATTTGGACCTGTACCGCTGGGCTAGCTGAGGTGATTCTCAGCTTATCTCAGCCGCACCGAGCTCGGCGAACTCGGCGAGCTTCCGCGCTTCCCCTTTCTGGTACGTTTACCAGACCAATGATCTGTTCTAGAGACATTTGCTTCAACATTGCATGTGCCAGCGGGCCAGCTTATGGAAAGCACACTCCATTAGTAATCTATCTGGTCGGACGGTCCGGGTGCATACTCACCTACTAACAAGCTTCCAATAGCTTCCAACAAGTACCTTCTCGCATCGATCGTCAAACCTTCCATTGGTCAGCTGCGTGTATCTGTAATGCTAGCTGACTGGAAAGTGTGTTCACTGTTCAATGCTTGTATATTGATAGACCCATGCTCAAGATTTGAAGGTATCACTGCTAATCGAGAGTTAAACTCCCATCAATCGAAGTCATGCCGAGAAGATACTTAATGTCATCTGAATCTGGCTGTGTACCTATTGGGGTACTAATCTAGCTCTTTGAAATACCTAGACTCGTATCTCCCGAGCTTCGAGCCGATCAGGCCCGCGAACCGAGCGCGAGTCCCGCCCCTCGCCAAACTCGTACGGGAGGCCTGAGTCTGACTGTGACTGTCAATCAGAGATTAACCTTATCGCTCCCCTGAGGTGTCGAACTCCCCTGGCGTCATTTGCGGACCTAGTCTGCCAATTGTTCTCAGGGTCACTTCCGCATTACGTGTCATGGTCCACGTGACCCCCGTATTCAGGTAGAAAGTCGCATCGAGAGCCTCTTTTTGAGAGAAATCCATCTCTCGCGCCCTGCTTCACAGGATTTATAGTGTTTCTCTCCCGGACACATTGATTCTCTCGACTAGACTCGGTTGAGAACATGAATGCAGGCAACGTCGACTATCCCGCTCACGGCAATGAGTAAGTTTAGTACGTCGTGAACCTCACTTTGTAGGTTGAGCATGCTGACTTTGGTTGCTGAGTTAACCAGAATCCCACTTCAACTTCTGACGCACAATCTCTCGGTCGCACTGAGCATTTTCCTCCTGGTATCGCTCTTGTACTACGTCGTACACTACGGGCTTAGGATATTACACATTCCTGCCCGCCAATCTGCGCGACTCCTTCGCTTAATACGACAATACTTTGGCCCTCATTTACCCCTCGAATTGGCGATGGTCGCTATAGCTCTAGGGGTCAAGACATTGGCATATCTAGGTATATTGCCTCCGATCGCGGGGCACTATCACTATATCTTGGATATCATGTGGACATTCAATAACGGTACGATAAATACCAAGATCTATACAGTGTGTGGGCAAGAGAACATGAGAATCGCTACCCGTATTCTGTCCTATTCAGCCACAACCGTGTCCGTGACATGGAATATTACCTCAACTTTGTACATCCCAACGACGACAACAACATAAAATGTACCAATTCCATAGGATCGACGGGCATACAATCTTTGACCTGGAAGGATATGTTCATCAGGATTGTACATCTACCATATACGTACGAAAGGTCGACATGTCACAGTACAAAAGTTTGCTTTCGCCGATTTCAACTAGCTCTCGTACTCCTGCCCTACAGGAAGGACGTACCTATTTTAGCCTGTCAAGATCTCTCGACTTTTATCCTATCCGCAACATTCTAGTATCCTGCTGCCGCTTACTTTTACTACATGTACTGGAGGAATTTTGAATATTTTTTAACCTTATAAACTTAGTACACATACTTTTTGTGGATTCTTTGGTGCGAGCGCATTACACATGATCACATGCCAAAAAGAATAGATTAGAGCCCGTTTAGAACCCAAGGGATGATGTTTGGATTCACGAAAGATAATCTCCCTTCAAGCCGCGTAATCGAGCATCAGCCGCGCCCAGATGTGACAGCACATCAACGAGTTGATCATTGCAAGTGACCTGGCCTTAGCCGAGCATGAGAGACCGCATACTGAGTATGGTACTGTACACTGAGGAACTCTTTGTGGATTCTCTTTGCTAACATTCTGCCTACATTGGAGCATCTGGTAGATGTTCATGTCTCTATTCCGCAAGATGGTGTTGCAAAATCTCCATCCACGGACCATGACCGGGTTTTGATGATTTGGAGAGGGGGGGGGGGGGGGGTGCTAGATAGAGCAGTGAGCAAGGGAGTCACGTGACCCTCGGCGCTTCATTATACTTCTCCAGCCTCCTGGCGGCTATTTAGGGAACGTCGAACCTAGGTAGCTTCCTCACTCCATGGTGATTGATATCTTCAGAGCATTACAATATTGCTTGCATGGTTCAATGTTACCTCTTCGGCAAGTAATCTTGACATCGAAGCGTACTGTGTCACTATTCTCCAGAAAAGTCACTTTGGAAGTTACCGTCCAACTCGGGGCCACCAACTCCTCAACAGGAACTTATTGACGAAGAAGCTGTGTACAAGTCAGCGACGTTCTACCCAGCAAAGCCGGGGGGGACGTAAAGGTGGGTCGAAGTACTAAGATTACGTAGGCCACAGATATGCCTTCAACGCAGGTGGCTAAGCCCCGCAGGTACCAAGCTAAGTAAGTTAGGTGGTAACTTACGGGTGAGCCGTAACATCCTCATGCTTTTTCTGCATTTGATTCCAGTCAAGAGCATGTAGGGGTTCTCACTTTTGCCTGTTCCCCCATCACATCACCCTCTCTTGCCATAATATCTTTTCCCACTTTAGGTATAAGGCATAATACAGGTAAATGTCGGAACGGCCGTGAGACCATCGGCTTCTTGCTGACATTCAGGCGAATTCTTGCTCGAAACACCCTCGTCGAAAAACGGGGTCAGAGATGAGTAGCTCAAATACATGGAGGTAATCTTTCTAAAGAGAAAGTAAGAAATCCCAATGGATGGTGAAGACGAAATAGTCATACCGGAGGTTGCCAGTAGCCTCACGCGTGAAGTCCTCGAGGAGACATCTATGATCCACCCAGGGATCGTAGCTCCGGGGAAAGTCCGGGGAGCAGCTTCCCCCGCATCAAGCGACAGCCGCGTGCGCTCGCATGGCGGGAGTTGCGGAGACTTCCGAGGTTCAAGATCAAATTCGGTACAGATTCCCCACATATTCTAGCCTTATTCTTGGAATTTTGGTGCTTCTAGAGATATTTCTCACTACTTTCGATCCGCTCCAAGGTATTGCGGGATTTCCGCGAGAAAGAATTGACTTCCACTACGCTTTGAATTTGCGGGGAAAGCCGGGAACGGCTTTTGACTTTTGCTCGGCAGTTCTTGACTACCGCTGGAGAAATGGACGCAGGTTTTGAATGCTCGGATTTTCCGAATCCCCAGTATGGGCTGGTATCTCCTTTAAAATCTCTCGTTTATCCCAAATGACCCTGGCTACTCAGAGTCACCATTGTTAATGAAGCTGTGTGGCAGTTTTCAATATTTCGCGCTCCAACCGCCGCTATGAGGATCTATGACCATGTCAAATTCGGATTGATGGCACTCGAATGGCTCTTGAGCATCCCCGGGGGTCATTCAGTGCCATTGACTCCACAACTTCCGACACTTTGTTCTCGAAACTCAGTGACCGTTGCGCAGAACTCGTCCTCTGTCTGGCCGTGGCAGGAATATACATCGTCGAGTGCAAAACCACCATATCTCGAAATCAACGCGACTGGCGAGCAGCTTGCGCCAGGCCTGATCTTTTTTGATCCACAGACGGGCATAAATCCCCGGTCTTACATCCCTGATCAAGCTCCGTTCATCATGACCGACACCGGCGATCTCATTTGGTCGGGGCCCGTCACCCCGGATGCCTCAAATTTCCGCGTGCAGGAACTATACGGGGAACCGGTGATCACCTATTGGGCAGGTAGCGGTGGTGCTTCGAGCTCTGCATCAGCATCCCACGGTTACGGTCACATCGTCATTCAAAACTCATCATATGACCAGATTGCCACCGTTTGTCCAAGTTTCAACTTGACTCTACCACCTGGACAGTCTGCACCTTGTCAGGCGGATGTTCACGAATCCTTTATCACCGAAGACAATACAATTCTCGTCACAGCCTACAACATTACCAGCGCGAACCTGAAAGATCTCGGTGGCCCTGAGGAAGGGTGGGTCCTGGATCCTCTTGTGTTTGAGATTGATCTCACCACTTCGGAAATTCTTTTTTCTTGGAGCCCCCTCGCACACGTGCCAATAACAGACACAAAACTCCCCCTCTTGGGCGCAGGGGAGAATATCAGCAACCCTTTCGACTTTTTTCACACTAACTCTATCCAACTGTTTGAGGGAAATTATCTTGTGAATAGTCGTAACACCTGGACGACGTACCTCGTTGACAGAAAAGGCAACATTCTCTGGCAAATTGATGGCGAGACGGGTGGTGACTTCGGCGGGCTGCCCGAGGGAGGTCGATTTGTAAGTCATCTTCTGTTTCCAGTCATAGACGCGAAACTAACGATCACGGGCCTTAGTCGTGGCAACATTATGCTCGAATCGCACGTCTCTCCCACACCCAACTTCAGCTCAGGTACTTTGCAAATAACAATGGGGATCCGACCACAAGCAACCCGTCAGTCGGCCTCGAATTTTTGTTGACAGTGCCCCCGGCCACCGATCACCCGCCTCAGCTACTGAAGAATCTCTCAGACCCACTGTACCCCGCTGCGTCTTTGGCCATGGGAACGCATGATATCCTGTCAAACGACAACCATTTCCTTGGCTACGGCATCCAACCTGTGATGAAAGAGTTTGGGCCGCAAGATCCCCAAGGCCGTGATGTTCGCTGGTCAGCGCGGTACAACTTCGAGAATGGCGCTGCTAGTTATCGCACCTACAAAACTAACTGGAGAGCCAGCCCCTCAACAAAGCCGTCTCTTCAGATTAAAAAGGTTGGCAGCGGAAGCAACGTTTCTTCAGGGCTAGACGGTATTGAATGTGGCTCATCGGAAATCCGAGGCTACATAAGTTGGAATGGTGCAACCGAAGTAAAGCACTTTGTGGTTTACACGGGCAGTGACGAGAACTCAATGACAGCAGTTGGGATTACTCGAAAACAAGGCTTTGAAACAGAGTTCGCCATTCCTGAGGGGTATGGGCATAAGTTTGTTCAGGTGGGTGCAGTTGAAAATAACCACTCTGGGGTGGTCATGAAATCCGCCATCATGCAAATGTAATGTCACCTTGTCGCGTCTTGACATGATTAAAATTTGTGAACATGATTGGGATTTGTGAACAGACATCCATCCCATTTATGACGTATAGAATGGCTTCGCTCACTGAAACTAATCGCAAAATGCCGCTGTTTCCTCGTGATATACTGCTTTTCTCTCCACTTTTCAATGTTGAATATGGTCATCGAGACCGAGGGCGTTTGTCTCTACGGCCGCACGGCCCAGATATCACCGCAAGGACAGGTGTGATCCGGTGAAGCATGGTTGAAATTGGCTAAATTCGTAAATCAGGAATGAAACAGAAGTTGTCATAGCTTTAAGCTGTAGTGGGCTTATGTTTTAATCAATTTGGTAAGATAATTACTGGGTATTGGTATACCTTATCTGACCAATCGACACGTGTCGAACTCCGAGGGCAAGTTGTTTGAAAATAGCGGATTAATATAAGCTCTGCAGTGTGGGTATCTAGGTAACGTATTAATCGAGTGGGCGATACATCCAAGCGGGCGATACAGCTACATCAACGCGTCAACTTTTAAGTCAATTTTTACAACCATAATTCCCAATTATTTATATTTAACGATTAGGAAATCGATAAGCCTTATAGCTAACCTCTGTACAGCCACTATATCCCTCTGAACTCCTTAGCACGCGCGTGGTAGGTGATCCTATCTACTAATCATACAGCTAGATCTCTATACCTTCTTCAACCATCTCTAGCTATTTTTTTACGCCCGAGAGGCCCGAGTCCCGATAGATGATCAAATTAAGAGCTTCCTAAGTTAATAGTCCTCCTTCGTAGAGGAATTAGCGCCTCGATCTTGATACTATTTATATAAGCCATCTTAGTGTTTAGATAATTCTACCTCACCTTACAGGCTTACCCTCGAGGAATCTACTATCGAGGGATCTTCCGAGGGATCTACCGACTCACCATAGAGGGACCTACTATTTGTATAGTATATAATTCTGCCACTCACTATAGTCTATAGCTTAGGTAGAATCTTTAGGGGTTTAGGGGTTTAGGGGTTTAGGGTTTAGGGTTTTTAGGGTTTAGGGTTTTTAGGGTTTTTAGGGTTTAGGGTTTAGGGTTTTTAGGGTT